CCGCCTGTTTCAGATCAGAGAGCTCCGCCTGTTTCAGGTCAGGGAGAGCTCCGCCTGTTTCAGGTCAGAGAGCTCCGCCTGTTTCAGATCAGAGAGCTCTGCCTGTTTCAGGTCAGAGGGAGCTCCGCCTGTTTCAGGTCAGAGAGCTCCGCCTGTTTCAGGTCAGAGGAAGCTGGTGAACTCACCGATTTGCATGATTCAGGATTATCCTTCAAACCCCATCAGTGAAAACAATGCATTGTGGGGTTTTAGGAAACAGTCGCTCAGCAGAATTTTTTTGAAGCAGTCATGTTTTTTAATTCTCGATAGAATCTGATAAAGCGTTGAATGCTGGCTTCGTTTAATGAGCATCTGGGATACATTGCTTTCTAAGAATATTATTTCAAATCAATTTATTTCTCCTCAAAGTTGGGATTAATATTACAGTTTAGCTTCTTTTTTTTTTGCATGATTATTTATTATGAAACAAAGGAAATTCCTAAATTATTCTATGTGATCAGATCATGAAGCATTTCAGCACCAGGGAAAGTGTCCCATCTCCACCTGTGGTGCTAACTATGCAACACCGTATGGTTGATCATTTAGTGGCTAATTAACGTTTCTGTGATTGGCGGCCATCTTTGTGGTGGAAGTCGTGTTGCTTGAACCGTCTGACTCAGAGTTCTAACTTTCAGCTGTTTTGCTGCCGATTTTCAGATCTGAAATTCCACCTCAGAGTCCAAACCAAGCTTTTAACAGATTTAAACAGCGCCCCCTCCTGTTAACAATACGTAATGGTTAAATAAAAAAAATGTGGTGGGGGCTAAGGTTTAAAGTCATATCTTTTAGAATATGATCCATGTTTACAATCAATCTTTATAAATGATGCTCCTGCAGTAAAGGATCAAATGGAACAAACTTTTTAATATCTTTTCTTCAAAATCTTCACGTTTATTTTGCATCTTTAGATATTTTTCCTGCTATGTTTACTTGGAATATAAGTTACTGCAGGAAACAAAAACCTTCAGCAAAAATTTGTGTGTTTTTCTAAACTTGTAGCTTGAGTGAAATGATTTAAAATATATGTTGAAATATCTCTGGAAATACCAAACGTCTGACAGGAGGGTGAAATTTCTTTTTACCATAACTACATTATTTTATTTTATTTTGCATCTTTGCTAAATCCTCTGTTCTCAATGCGATGGCTGGAAAACAAGTCAAAAAACACAGAAGAGGCAGAGACACTGTTTATAGTGCTGAAATCATGCTTTATTAAATCAGTAAAACTCAAGGAGGATGATATATAGGTTCTACATCAGCAGATCAATAAAGTCATCGTCCAGGGTAAAACCATAACCTCACCACAGATGAACTCAGGGATGCGGATAAAGGAAAATTAAAACCCTGACTACTGACAAGGCGAAACGACTACAAACTACAGACACTCACACTCAAAACAACAACACATCAGCTATGATCCTCCAAGAGGTGGCGCTGCTCCTGCACAGCAGGGCTGCTGTTGACTCCCCGTCTTCTGGCCAGGAGATGTTGCTTAGTGAAGCCAAACCAGCCGTCCTGTGCCAGAAGCAGCGCTCATGAACAAAATGAATCTAAATGCAGAGAGAGCAGGCCGCTCGCCCTCTCTGCAGCTCATCAAGTCGTGGTGGTGTGACACGTCCGTCTGAGCACAAGGCCGGTTCCTGCTGCTTACATGAGGGTGATGCAAACAGCACTCAGGGTCTTATGCTCATGGTACAACTCCCATAAAAGTGTAATATCACGCGCACAGATGCGTGTCCAAACCAGAAGTTTGTCTTTTTGTTTCTGCTTCTTAACATCAACAGGGAGCCTCTCTACCTGTTGAGGCAATCTTAAGACTTCAACTTATCGTTGAGGCACAGAGTTTAGTTTCCAGGTTTAACAGGGTATTCGTTCCAGCGGAGACTTTCTCCTGTTAACCAATTATAGCTTCTTTGAGTTTCAGTTAATATTATTGTCATAAATAACAATGCATACATTTCCCATAACCGGTAAACTCGGCTATATACATTATGTACATGTCACAGAAAAATGAAGTCAGAGTTATCCAATATGGCACATTTTACAACTTTAGACTTTAGTCTAGTTTGGCATAAATTAACGTCAAGTTTGGTACAAAAATAGTTCCTATTTACAAGAATATTCCAGATCTTTATCAAGTAAGATTATTGTAAATAAAAAGTTTAGGACTAGGGGAAGAGGGGAAATAATTTTTTCTCTTTTTTACATGGACCGGACGTGAACGTTTACAGTTGCGGAATCAGAGCCAAGCTCGTTGGAGAGTCGGAGCGTGTATGCGCCGGCGTCGGCCTCCTTCACCGCAGAGATCATGAGGGTGGAGAGATCAGCCGCATTATCCACATGGAACCGCTGGTCTCCGTTGGGGAGGGTTCGACCTGAGCGGAGCCACTGGACAGAGGGAGCAGGATCCCCGGAGAACAAGCCGGCCACAGTTAGAGACTTCCCCGGCTCTGCGCTTACATCCTGTGGAAGCGCTTCGATCTTTGGTGGAGTGCCTGAAGACAGCAGCAGAACCAAATCAGTGAACATGTTTTAGACTTTTCACAACTTAGACTTTTACCTTCAAAATTTGAACTTTTGAGGCATTTTGAGGTTGTTTTTTTTTTTGCTGTTCCTTCATGCTGAGGTTGTAAATGAAACAAACATGCTTTAATTGATCTCTTTCACAGAAGCTGCACAGAAAAACACCCAAAGGTTTTTTCTTCAGCTGCTTGTAAATTTTGCACCAAATATCTCAAATATAACAAAGAGTGAGAAGAAATAAGTTTGGTTTGTCTTTACGCTCCAAACTTAGCAGAACAGAGGCATAGCAAGAAATTTTAATAGGGGTGGGCATAAGCAGATAGGCACCAGAACCTAAGGGTCAATCTACACTGTACAGACAGGAACGAGCACGACATCTATATAAAGACAAACTACACTTTCCTAGAGCCTTTGCTAACAAATAGACACATATATTTAAACATCCATGCTGTCTAAATAAAAGGTATAATGGTCAAAATTTCTGGGGTGAACACTACTTATCAAAAAATTGTTCTGCATAACATTATTATTTACATGTATTAATATCTACATTAACTGGATTTTTAAATTATTATTAAAGTAGTTATTTATCTAAGATTTCACCCAAGACTCGTAATTAACTTGCAGAGACACATAACTTTCTCTTTACCCTATATAGCACAAAATTTAGCTCTGAAAAGAGCATAAATTCTGTATATATCAACTTTAATGTTAGTATTTTGATGTACATAATTAACCACAGTGTTTTAGTTGTCAACTAATTGTTAATATATGAAAAATTTAAATGTTTAATACTTTTAAATATTCCCCTTGAGAGTATTACTGCTCCCACCATCTGTATTGGAGGGAAAAATGGTAGGGGTGGCCAATCATTGGCTAAGGGTGGCCATGTCCACCTCTGGCCCCCCATCTAGCTCTGCCACTGGATGAGAAGAATGCCTAAACTTAGAGCAGGTCAGGAGAATGTAGGGTCTCACCTGTCTTAGGCCCAGCAGTGAGCGCCTTTACATGCGAGCGGGCAGACATTCCTACGCTTTGGCTGCTGGAGCTCATGGACACCACTGACTCGGTCGCCATGGCAGACATGCTGGCTGCAGACATGCTCTCAAAGGAAAACTGATCGACAGCAGAGTGGGAACTGCTGCTGTAGCTGCTGGCCTGCATCAAGGCAGCTTCCGTATAAACCGATGAGGCTAAGAAACTTTTCTGCATGCTCATAGCGGCCTCAGTAGAAGCTCTTTGCTCGACAGTGGCCATTTGTATTGGTTCCTCAACCAGAGCTGTAAAAATGCAAATAAGATGACAGTGACAGACTGTGTGCAGACTGCAAGCAAACATGCTGACATTCTTTGGGTTTCTGAGAACTAATTTATTCAGACAAACCAAAGCATAACAGGTCATCAACACACTTAAAAAAACAGTAAAAATAAATTATTTGTCATTCATATCTTGCAGGGGTGCTAAAAATCTCAGATTAAAAGCTTAAGTCTTAAACCTTGATATTTAAGTATTTTCAGGCATTGCATGAACATTTTAATGTCATTTTCACATGCAGATAATTTAACCCTTTCAAACTCCAGTTAATTTGGTTTTGCTGAGTAAAAGAGGTGACCTACAGAAGACGTTGAGCGATGATGTCGCAGAGCACTGCCCAAACTGGTTCCTGGCTTTTATTGTGTATTTCCCGCTATCTGCAACCGTTGCCTCAGAAATCTCCAGAGTAAACTCGTTCTTAGAACGTCTTAGTTTGATATTTGGAGAGACGAATATCTGGAAAGACATGTTTGTTTTTACTTAAAATACAAACTTAAAAATGTTTTGTTGATTAGAAAGACTAATTTTGGAAAAGAAAACTACTCACCAATGCGTTGTCTTTCAACCACTCCACTTCAGGGGAAGGGTGGCCTGAAATTTCACAGGTAAACATAACGGTTTGTCCCTCATTCACGTTTTGGGACCTGGGTTGCAGCAGGAAGTAGGGCGCTTCTTCGACGGATTTCTGGATTTCTGAGGACTTCACCTCTGTTACAGAGGACGATGTTACCTCATGGATTCTTTCCTTTTTCAGGACTTCCTCCGATATTGTTTCAGAGCTCTTTAAATCTAAAAAAGGAAAAGCATTAATTGATTTATTGCAAAAAATAAAACATATCTGTAGATTGTTCAAACAGGTTGCCTCCACTTACCATGTACTGTAACTGTGCAGGTTGTTGACACTGCTCCAGAAGAGTTGGTGGCTGTGCACCTGTAGACCCCACTGTCAGAAACCTCTGACTTACAGATTTCTAGATGCGCTGAACATTGGTCCTCAAATAATTCATACTTTCCACCTTGAGATATTGTCTAAAAAAAAAAATCATAAAATACTTAGAGTTGTTTAAAGTTCAGTGAAGACTTTTAAATCATTCGCTAATTTAAATCCGTTACCTGTCCATCCTTTGACCAAGAGACCGTAGGTTTAGGCTCTCCTTTCACCTTCACAGACAGCTTCACAATCGAGTCACAGGATGCAGTAACGTCACTGAGCCCCGCTGAAAAGACAGGCTTCTTTCCAAGAACTGGTGACAAGACTCTCTTAGGTGACTTGACTGGAGGAATTAGTTGCTCCCTTTCAGACGGAGGTGGGGACTTTGGAGTAGGAGACTTGGGAGTTGGTGACTTTGGAGTAGGAGACTTGGGAGTTGGCGACTTTGGTGAAACTGGAGACTTTACTCTTTGAGGTGATTTGACTGGCTCGGGTGATTTGACTCTTTGGGGTGATTTGACTGGCTCGGGTGACTTTGGTAATGGAGATTTAGCCTCTGGAGAAGTGATTCTAGGAGAGGCGACTACTTTCTCCTTAGACTCAGACTTGTTGATCTTTAAAGTGAACTGGGCTTCCTGTTTTCCACCAGCATTTTCTACTAGCAATGTGTAGCTGCCTTCATCTGACATCTCGACAGCAGAAATTTCAAAGGTTGAGTTGTACTGAGTGGAAACAATGTGATGCCGGGCACTGGGAGCAACAGTTATCCCTTCATGAAGCCAGGTGATTGAAGGTGATGGTTCACCATCCACATCACACTCAAATCTGGCATTGTCTCCTTCCTCCACAGTCAAGGACTTTGGTTTGGTCAGGATTGTGGCAGGAACTCCAGGCTTCTCCCTTGGCTCCTCAATGACAGCAGAGGTCTCTTTTACGATTCCAGTGACACTTTCCTCAACAGTTGTTTTGGAAGAAGAAACATGGTAGACCTCTGTTCGTGTCATCTCTGGCAGGTGGGCTGTTGGTGGCTCCTCCTCTTTGCGGAAAGATGAAAAAGCAGCATACTCTTCCCCTGCTACATCCAATGTAGCATAATCAGAGGTTTCTCCTTTAGCATTCTTGCAGATTACACGGTATGTGCCCGAATCTTCGGTCACGCAGTTGTTTATCTGGAGAGTTAAAACTCCACTGATGTTGGTCATGAAGTATTTGCTGCTCTGATGAATCTCCTTTCCATTGTGGAACCATTTGATCTCTGGTTCAGGTTTGGCTTGGATATTCAAAGTAAACTTTGTGTTTGAACCGTATGGCACACGATGAGATCGCATTCTGATGGTAATACGTGGGGCATGATCAAGGCTGAAGGGAGCCTGTGTTACAACTTCAACTGTCCTCTCAACAGACCTTCTCTCAGATCTAATTGCCTGTTTTCTCTCCTCATACCTAGACAAATAGTCCACTTTTGGATAAGTAGCATCTGTTTTTGAAGCTTTTTCTAAGGCAAAAGATTTTGCCACCTCTGGTTCAGGCAAGGGGACCTTTTTTATGGGTTTAGGTATATATTCTGTGGCAAAAGTTGTCAGATGCTCAGATTCAGTGGTCTCAGAGAAGGTTGAAACTGAAACAGCTTCCTTCTTAGAGGTCCGTGTCTTCTCCTCAAATTCCATGCGTTTAAGTTGACTTTTGTAAGAAGAAAGTCTCTCCGTGGTTGTATGTGGGCGTAGCAGTTCAAGATCTTCCCTCTCTTCGTACACTCGTTGCTTCTGTCTTGGAGGCCTGTGTGTGGCTTTGTCGTGACGCTGGCGAAGGTCAACAAAAGTAGGTCCGGCCTCATACTTAGAAGGAATTCTATAGCAATCATATCTTTTCACCTCTTCTCCTCCTTCCTCATCACTGTAGACTCTCCTGGGAGATGTTGGGCGCAAAGCAGACAGCTCAAATCGAACTGGGCTCAGGCTAGGTGGAGAAGCAGAATAACCAAGTTCCAGCTCTTCCTCTAAACGGAGTCTCTCTTCCTCTGTTCTTTTCATTGAGAGATATTCACCTACAGGTAGTAGCAGCTCCTCATCTGAGAGATCTCCCAGAGACCTCCTTCTGAGCCGGCGGTAGACCTCTGTCTCCGGAGAGGGAGTGCGATGCCTTGCGGGCCTCACTGTCTCCAAGTCATCCTGCGTCGTAGAGGAGATGCGCCACTTTGGCTTATAATCTTCCTTGATCCTGATGGGCACCTCATAGAACTGCTCCCACCGAGACAGACGGATACGTTTCATTCTCTTCTGTTTGATTTTATCCATTGGCTCAGGGAACTCATATTGATCCCGCAGCTTCTTGTACCATTTCATGTCAGAGAGGGGCTGGAAGTGTTTTATTTCTACATCCTCCTCTAGAACAGCTGGATTTATGACTCGAGGTGTAGGAACAACATAAGGCATGCGAAGCCTTTTCTCATCAGCACGCTTCTTCCTCTCCTCCTTTTCTTTCTTTATCTCAGCCTCAGTCTTCTCTCCTGTCTTGGTTTTGACAGCAGGTTTGAACATAGTAGCTGCCTCTCTGACAGCTTCTACTGCTGCAGGTGGGAGAGGTGTGACAACAGTGCCAGTCAATATCTGAGACAGCCTAACCTTTTTATCCAGTTCCACCTGTCCAGCTATCTTTTGCTTCTCCTTTTCGCTTGGCTCATACTCCTTCTTTACATGAGTTACTCTTTCCACTTTAAGAGTTGCCTGGCAGCTGGCAGATCCAGCAGAGTTCGTTGCAGTAACTCTGTATACTCCAGAGTCCTCAGGGAGTGTGTCTCTTACATGAAGGATGTAGTAATCCAAGCCCTCGTGAACAACTTCGATGGATGGTCCAAAGGCTAAGGGTGTGCCATCTTTCTCCCACTTCAGTGTTGGGTGGCCAGAAACTCTGATCTCAAATCGGATGTTTTGACCCTCTTTACACTCAATGTTTGCAAGCAACCGTTTAAACATGGGTCTCAAGGTGAGGTCTGCTGGTTTGGGGCGGGGAACAACAGTGAGGCGGGCCTTGCAGCTGTCATCACCATACCTGTTGCGGGCCACAACACTGTACTCAGCATCATCCTCTTTTTCTAAGTTGTGGATTATAAGCTGATACAAGCCTTTATCACTAATGAAGGTGTATTTTCTATCATCATGTCCAGGGATAAGTTTTTGTCCGGATTTGTGCCAGATGACACGAGGCTCAGGGTGAACGGTGATGGTTACGCCAAAGCGTATATCTTCACCAAGATAGGCTGTGCGGTTGACCAGGGGAAGAGTAAACTCTGGTGGCTTCTGAAGCATTCGGGCTGTGTCCACTCTTCGCTTTGTCCTTCTTATCACACGAGTAGTGAAGAAGTCACGGTAAGATCGAACCCCACTGACAAATAGCTCTGCATAAGCACTATCCTCACCATACTCATTCACGACCTTGCATCTGTATGTACCGTCATCTGCTCTAACGATCTTGTTAATGGTTATTACAGCAACTCCGTCCTCATACTCAATTTCATACTTTTCTCCGGCCTCAAGTTGCCTCACACCACAATACCATGTAACTTCTGTGGTGCTGTCATAATTCTCAATGTTGCAGATGAACTTCACACTATCTCCTTCACTGACCATGGCATGGCTTAGCTGGCCCGCAACAGGGCCATGTTCAAATGGAGCAATCTTGACTTTAGACACAAAAACACCACGCTGGGGCCGGATGGAGCCACCGCTGGCAACACGGGCAGCAGAAACTACTGTGCTCCATTCCTTCTTGACAATTGCCTGGTAGTATCTCTTGTGTCTGCCTGTTGGAAGTGCCCTGGCACTGATCTCTTCTGCAGGTTTTGTCAGCCAAGGATGCACCAGAGCCTCAGCTGCAGTCATACGGTGCTTACGGTCCTTTGTCATCAGACGGTCAATGAAGTCTAAGGCTTCTACGCTGACTTGCTTGAAGGACTCATCATCATAGCCATAGGCTGCGTTTGAAATGTTATCAATCATTTGTTGGTTGGTTTCAGCTGTGAATGGATTAAGTCCACTTAGAAGCACATATGTAAGGACACCTACTGACCACATGTCAGTAACTGTGCTAACCATGTCACACTGGTGGATCTCTGGGGCAGCGTACTCTGCAGTAGTGTATTGAATTTTGATTTGTTCTCCTGGAGTCAGATGTCTAGACTGCCCCAATTCAATGATCTTGACAGTTGAGCTGGTTCTCGTTGTGTATACAATGTTCTCAGGTCTGATATCAAAGTGTCCATATCTCTCAGAATGCAGGTATTCCAGAGCTGAACAAATCTGCCTAATATAGTTAACAACCTCCCGTTCATTGAGCTCAAACTCTGCTGTATTAAGGCGCTCAAAGATGTCTTGGCCAGAGATGAAGTCATAGATCAGCACCAGCTCTTCTGGGCTTTCAAAGGACTCATGAAGGAGGAGGAAGTTAAAGTGCTTGGCCAAATTGATTGTTGCAATTTCTTTTTTAATTATTGCTTGATCAGCACCTCTAACTTTCACAAATTTGGCCATGTATGTCTTCTCAGAGCTGATGTCAACGCAGCGATGAACAATGCCAAATTGGCCTCTGCCCAGTTCCTCTGCAATGGAATATTTGTTGTGCAGATTCTTGGTGTCAGAGTGTAGGGCTTTGCCTTTGCGGACTCGGTCAGTGTCATCAACTTCCCTGTCATAAAGCAGAACTCTGGATTTGTCTTCTTTGGTCATAACGGGTCCACTGCTCTCAGATGGGGCACTCTGTCCAAACTTGTTCTCTGCAATAACTCTGAACTGATAGCTTGTACCACCAAACAAATTAATCACTGTGTAGTGGGTGTCACGGGACTGTGCAACACGTTCCCACCGCTCAGCAGTAGTTGGACATTTTTCAATGATATAACTTATAACCCTGCTGCCACCATCATTGGCTGGAGCCACCCAGTTGAGTGTGACAGAATCTCTTGACACATCACTGGCTTTGACACCACGAGGTGGATCGGGCACATCAGCAACATCCAACTCCACGGTTTGTTGATCAATGCCAAATCTGTTCTTAGCACAGACGATGTAAAAGCCAGCGTCTTTCTTTTCTACTCCATTGGCGAACACCAAAGAGGTGAAGGATCTAGTGACAATCACCTGGTAATGGCCATTGCTGTCAATAAGATCTTGTCCCTTTTGCCAAGTGATGACAGGATCTGGTTTACCACTGAAAGGAATCTTAATATTGACCACTTCCCCACGCAGAGCTGGGATTGCTTCCTTGTCCTTTAGGTTCTTTGGCAGATGAATCTTGGCAGGGACTAGAAATTAAAAAAAAAAAACGTTATATGATTTTAATGTTAAAATTCAATAGCCTTAATTGATAAAATGACATGTCTTTAAGCTTACTTTCAACATCTAGAGAGACTGTGGCACATATCGAGCCTCCTTGGTTGGTGGCTCTGATCTGATAAACAGTAGAGTCTTCCTCATCAGCCTCAGTGATAACCAGCTGGTGATATCCTCCCTTAAATTCCTGGATTTTGATCTTCTTGCCATCTGAATGGATCTCCTTTCCTCGTCTGAACCATTTAATTACAGGTTTAGGTTGTCCTGTGATCTTGCAGACCAGGGTAGCATTGCTCTTGTACTTGACACTCATGTTCCTCAGCTCCTCCTTGAAGGCAGGTGCGCGTACATCTACAGCAGTTGCTGGGATGATGGGAGCCGTCTCTTCGCTGTAGTCACTTTCTCCACCTAGGTTTTCACACTTGACACGGAAGACATATTCAACGCCTTCTGTCAGGCGCTTGACAGAGAACACTGTTTGTTTGATCTCATCTGTGGTAACTGGAGTCCAATCAGTCCATTCCTTTTTATCCTTCTTATTTTTCTTTTCAACACGGTAGCTTTTTATCTTAGATCCACCATCACTTAGTGGAGGTTTCCAAGAAAGCACACATGAGTCCTTAGTGATACCAGACACAACTGGTGACAGTGGTGGTGATGGTTTCTCTGTGGATAAATAAAGAGAAAAAACTGTGAAGACTTTTGCATTGAAGCCTCGGTTGTACATTTTGCAATATTAAGCAAACCATATTTTCTAAAATAAATCCTGACATCATCTTCCCCTTACCCAGTTGGCTCTTAATCAAGATGGGGTTGGTGAGCTCTAGTGGCTCACTGTTGCCATATCGATTCTGAGCATAAACACGGAAAAAGTATCCAGCACTGTCAATCAGGTTGGGCACCCGACAGGATGTGCTGTTAATGGAGGAAGACACCAGTTCCCACTCTGTGCCCTCCTTGTCTTCTCTCTTTTCCACAATATAGTTGGTGATCATACAGCCTCCATCATCTTTGGGAGGTTTCCAGCTGATGATGACAGAATTCTTAAGGAGGGCCTCCAGGACAATGGGTCCCTGAGGTATATCAGGTTTGTCTGTGAACAGAGGTATAGGATGTTATTGTATAAAAATCTGGCAATGCTTATCTTTCACTCACTGTATTAGGAAGAGTTAATTCAGTTAACTTACCATAAATTTCAACATTGAAGGCCGTGTCAGCCCTGCCAAAGTGGTTATGCAGTCTAATCCTATATTTGCCTCCATGGACTCTGCGCTGGACATTCTTTACAATCAGGTGTGTGTAATGCTCAGTGGTCTCAATGCTAATATCCTCTGTGTTTTCCAGCGTTTTAGCCCCAAGCAGCCACATAATCTTTGGCTGAGGACGGCCAATATAAACGGCATGGATGCGAAGAGTTGTTCCAAGTCCGGCATAATAGGTTTCTTTCAGTGGGTAATCTGGGTGGAAGGATGGAGCAGCCTCCAGCACTAGAACACCAGTAGTCTCAGCTTCTCCTGCTTCATTAATGGCCTTGCAGGTGTATTCCCCTTCGTCTTCCTGCTGGTCCGTCATGATAGACAGGGAGTGGTTGCGGCCATCAGAGCTCATCTCGTACTTGCGTGACTCTACGATCTCTTTGCCACAATGGTACCACTTTATATCAGGTACAGGTCGGCCAACAATCTGGCATTTCATAACAGCAGGCTGGCCAAGCTTGGTAGTGACCTCATCCATTTCCTTCCTGAGGCTTGGTTTACTTTCAGCTGTGGGTAAAAATTATAAATGTAATATATCTTGTTAAATCCGTAGTATATAGTAAAAAATATATGAAGCTCGACTTACAGATCAGTTTAGTCTTGATGCATGTGGCAGTCCTACGAGGTCTACTCATTCCTGTCTCATTCTCAGCAAAGACTCTGAACTCGTATTCTGTGGCCTCAGCCAGTCCTGTCATGGTAAATTCCTGCTCCTTAATTCTCTGTTTATTGCACTTCTTCCAGGAACTCTCAATTGACTTTCTGTATTCCACCCAGTAGCCCAGGACTTCTTTCCCTCCGTCACATTCTGGAGGTTGCCAGCGAATGGTGATAAAATTGTTTGTCACATTTACTGTGTCGATCTCTCCTGGTTGGCTTGGTTTGTCTAAAATGAAATAAAACATTTAGGTCAGCTTTGTTCTCTCTTACATTGTGAAGTATAGATTCCTGTCAAATATTTATTGTAAAACTAAAGGTGGAACAACTTTTGCATTTACTGTTACTGAAGGTTATCTTTCTCAGGGAAAAAAGTTTACTTTTAATCAGAAAAAAATACTATGAGTTAACACAAAAAGTTAGATCTCAGTTCATTCATTCATTTATTTCAGTTACTGCAAACTTGTAGTAACTGCTGACTGCAAACATGTAGTATACCATATCGTCTTCTCAGGACAGAATACTCACCAAATGGATCTTTGCAGGTGACGGGATCGGATGCTGATCCAGCCTCGCTTTCACCTATATCGTTGACAGCTACAATGCGGAATTGATAGTCTGTATCAGGGGTAAGTCCATGTAGCGTAAACATGGTGGAGCTGATCTTGGTCTCATGGCGGATCCAGGTCTCAGAGGGCACCTCCTTGAACTCCACAAAATAGCCAGTGATTGCAGAACCTCCATCATCCTTTGGTCTGGACCAGGCCAGTGCCACTGAGCTTTTGGTGACATCCATGATCTCTGGAGGGACACTTGAAGGCTCAGGGGGACCTGGTTTTTTGACAAAAACAAAAAAATAATTTCAATCTATGCAGACACAAATGGATGACTTAATACTTTTCAGAGACAGCTGCTCAACAGAGATGTAAAACTTACAGAGAGGAGTCTTCGGTACCAGTGGTTGCTCAGATTTTAGAGATGCACTGATGCCAAAGGTATTTTCAGCAGTGACTTTGAAGTGGTAATCTGTTCCCTCTTTTAAACCCTTAACGACCAGCTGAGTCTCTGTTACCCTAGAGTCCACCGTGTACCAGGCATTCCTGGCTGCTTCACGCCTCTCTACAATGTAACCAAGGATCTCTGAGCCACCATCATCGCTGGGTGGCTTCCAAGAGACCTTGACAGAATTGGCTTGGATTTCTTCAAACACCAATGGTCCCTCTGGAGCACTTGGGCGGCCAATGACCTTGACCTTAATTTGGGCTTTCTTCTTGCCTACTTTGTTCTCCAGCAGTAGCTCGTATAGACCAGAGTCACTCCTCTCTGCTCCCTTGATTACCAATTCACTGGAGTCCTCACTGGAGGCAATCATAGCCTTTGTGGAGATAGCTCCAGTATCCTTAGACCACTTGCAGGTTGGGAGGGGTTTGCCTTTTATCGGCACAGAGAGTCTAACCACTCCTCCATAACGGACAATGTACACATCTTTATATTTCAACTCCAGTTCATAGTCAGGAGATTCTGGAAAACATAATGTTCGCAATTTTTAATTTTTTTTATCTCATAAACTGTTGTGCAGATGCAGTAAAGTTTTCTTCTTACCAAGCCTTTCAGTCACTTTAACCGTTCCTGGTACTTCTGCAGGTTCTCCGGAACCTCCAGCGTTACAAGCCATTACACGGAACTTGAATTCCTCTCCTTGCGGCATGTTGGTCAGTGTGTACTCGCAGATCAGAGATGGAGTTGTGTTGCACTTGATCCAGGCGACAGAGCCGACCTTCTGCATCTCAATCAAATAACCATCCACCCTAGCATCTCCCTCCTCATCAGGTGGGCTCCAAGCAAGCGACACAGATGACTTGGTAGTGTCTGTGATCCTTGGGTTTTGAGGATAGCCAGGAGGATCTGCATGAATAAAAAATTAGGCAAAATGTTAAAGATGCATCGTTACTCACTTTTACATAGCTTTTTATGGAAATATTTGTAACTTTCCAGAGGTATATCCTCAGGCCTTGGTTGTTTACACTTACCAATGGGATCTGTTGCTACTGCTGGTTTAGATGGAAGACTAGGTTTGCTCAGGCCTCTTGCATTAATGGCTGTGACTCTATGTTCATACTCCAGGCCTTCAATCAGCCCAGTGGACCTGTACCTGGTCATAGTGACTGGGTTCTTATTTGCCCGCACCCACCGGTCAGCCCTGACCTCTTTGCGCTCAATGATGTAACCAGAAACCTCAAGACCACCATCTTCATCTGGTTGCTCCCAAGCCACAGTCATTCCATCACGAGACACATCAAAGGTGATTGGACGACCAGGAGGACCAGGCACATCTGTAAAGGAAGCAGATTTTAGCATTCTGCCTCTGTCATAATGCATGCATTGTATACAGAGTGTAATCTATAAAAACAAAGATCTTACTCTTCAAGCTCTTGCAAGTGACAATCTCAGACTGCAGGAACTCCCCGGTTCCATAGCGATTAATGGCAGCTACGCGGAAGACGTACTCATCTCCTTCAATTAGGTTCTCAAACCTGAACAATGGTCTGCTTACAGAGTCAGAGACAGTCACCCAGCCTGGTCTGTGAGCATCACGCTGTTCTACTAAATAGCCACTGATAGGAGCTCCACCATCTCTGACTGGAGGCTCCCAGCTGCAGGTGACAGTGGTGGCATCAATCTCATCAAACCGTATGGGTCCATTTGGTTCATCGGGTTTGGCTGACAAAGCAGAGAAAGATACTCGGTTTTTATTTGTGCCCTCCAGATCATTATAATGCAAAAAGTACATTTAAATTCAAGTTGATCATATCATTATTCTGTTCATTAGCTACATCTTTAGAGATGGCTGGTTGGTATTGGTTTAAAAGTCTCTACAATAATAAGCGATTAATTAAAAATGAGGATTGTTAAACAGCTTCTTACAGAGAATGACGACCTTTATGACCTCTGTGACGACTCCAACAGCATTCTTGACTTCGAGTGTGTAGTCACCACTGTCATCAATTGTTGTGTTGGACACAGTCAGCTTGGAGAACTTGCCAGTGCTCTTGACCTTCACACGATCTGTTATCTTTATCTTGTTGTCCGCAAAATACCAGGAGGAGACAGGAGGAGGCCTGCCGATGATTGGAAGGTCCAGTTCCAACGTCTTACCCGCCAAAACATTGACAACTTTCTGGGGAATGCTGGACAAATCTACTTCGGGCATCACTGAGAGAAAAAAGGACATCTTTTTTCACTATGACTCATGTTGCACTAAATCTTTAGGGTAAAATGAGTTTCTTATTAAAGTCAAAATACAGATAGCAGAGCTTTGTTTGGTTACCTCTTTGTTCCTGGACAGTGACCGCAGCAACAAGTTCTTTGGGCTCACTGGCTCCTCTGCTGTTGATAGCTTTAATCCTGAACAGGTATTGCTCTTTCTCATTTAACTTCTCTACGGTGTGCTCAAAGTCTGTTAGTTTCAGTGTTGCCACCTTCATCCATTTGTCAGTACCAAACTTGCAAGCTTCAATCATGTAACCAGTTAATCTGCTGCCACCATCGTGCTCCGGCTTCTCCCAGGACAGAGTGACTGTGCTCTTAGTGACGTCTATCACCTCGAATTTATGCGGTGGAAGAGGAACTTCACAGACCAGGATGACGTCTGGAGTCTCACAGGGCTCACCGATTCCATATATGTTTTCTGGGAGGACGCGGAAGTAGTAAAGCATGCCCTCCATAAGGTTATCAATCTTATAGGAGGTCTTACTGCACTTGGAGGTTACTGTCTTGTAGGCTCTCATGGAGGCTTCACGCCTCTCGATGATATAGTTATTAACAGGAGCACCACCATCAACAGATGGGGCCTCCCAGGAGATGATGGCGAAGTCTTTTGTGAGCTCCTTGATCTTGATTGGCCCAGTTGGTCCAGGTGTATCTTAAAATATAAGAAATGCATTTTCATGTCAAATACAAAATAAAAGATCCCCTTTTCAAGCTTGTAAAATGAACATTAATTACATTAGGCAGTTTAATTGTTGATCAGATACTCAGACAGTTTTTTACTCACCATAAACCTTGACAAGAATACTGACTTCCTGTTTTCCAGCAGAATTCTCAGCTACCAGTGTGTACTTCCCAGCATCATAGCGGTGCACCTTGTCAATGATGAGAGTGGTTGATTTTCTGGTGACTTCGATGAAGCCTCTGTTATGGAGGTCAACACCAGGTTTGCTCCATGTTACAGCTGGTGCAGGACGACCTGTTATGTTCACAAATAGACGAAGAGAGCCACCGGCACGCAGGCAGATTGTCTTTTTGAGGTCGTCGTGGAGCTCAAAATCAGGAGGTTCTGTGAGAGACATAGATGATGTGATGCACAATGTAGTAGAAGGGAATTTCATTAAATTCAGTAAAAAAAAAATATTTTTGGCTGAGAAAAATGAAAACAAATGAAAAAACGTAATATAGGCCATTAAAAGGTCTTACCAATTCGTTCCACAGGCTCAGTCTCAGCACATGGTTCACTGAAGTCTCCTGTTCCATTAATGTTGATTCCAGCCACTCTGAAAGAGTACTTCTTTCCTGAAGAAAGTCCGGTTACCACATGCTCTGTAGCATGCAGGGTCTTCTCATGGGCCTTTTTCCAGTCCTCTGCCCCAGCTTCTTGCATCTCTAGAATGTAGCCAATCACATCAGCGCCTCCATCCTCTACAGGTCTAGACCATGCCAGGCTGATGCTGTCAGCATGCGTGTCAGTGATTCGAGGAATGGAAGGCGGAGCAGGGGTACCTAAGAAGTAGGGATGCAAAAGTTAGTTTATCTCTGTCTTTAAATAGTTCACTGATAATAAATTGAATCACTCTTGTTATATTATTAGTGAACAGAATATTCAAAGATTCTTATTGAATTGGACATTTAGGACTCTGATGCAACATACTTGTTGGAACTCTGCAGACGACGTAAAGAGAAACCTCGCTGGGCTCACTCTCTCCAGCTTTATTGATAGCCGTTACCCTGAACTGGTAGATGTTGCCTTCAGTCAAACCGGCCACCTTTAGCATGGTGTCCAGGTGAGCACCATCCCTGTTCACCTTTACCCAGCGGGCACTCTTCCTCTCACGTCTTTCCACCAGATAATGAGTTATCGGGCTGCCACCATCACTTTCTGGTTTTAGCCACTCAATTGTGGCAAAGTCCTTCCCTGATACAAGGATCTCTGGGGCCCCAGGAGGAGTGGGCACAGCTAAGGGACAGATAGGAAGATAAACAATCAGTTTAGTGAAATGGTGATTATGAAATAGAGCCTTGAGTAGGTCTCATTGGTATCTTTATATTTTCAACACAAAGTTTTTCCAAATTGATTCTCAAAGATTCCGCTTCTTGTACTTACTGAATGTGTTTCTGGCCACCATTGGCTCTGACTGGAGGTAAACCCCCGCACCATACTTGTTGACCCCCCGAACTCTGAACAAGTACTCTGTATTCTTGAACAGACCAGTGATGTTGCATGTCAGGTCCTTGCACTCAGGATTCAAGATCACCCAGTTCAACCTGTTGGTGTCACGCCTCTCTACGATGTAGTGTGTGATGTTATCCCCACCATCCTCAAGAGGTGGCTTCCAGCTCAATGTGCATGACTCCTCTGTTATCTTGCTGATCTCAATGCTGCCTTCACATACTCCAGGTGTGTCTAGACAGGATCAAAACATACTTAAAAGTAAATACCTTTGCAACAAATGCACTGAATATTATCTGAGACTACAAGTGATTCAATTGGCGAAGAACAAAAGGCACTTACCAAGCACTTTGACATTGACCTCTGCAGTCTTGGTTCCACTCACATTTCTGGCAGTCAGGATGTATTTTCCAGTATCATCTCTGTCACAGAATTTGATAATTGCCATAGCTCTAGTGGGTGTGTACTGCAGGTGATATTTCTCACACATCTCCAATTCCCTGTTGCCTTTGGACCAGAAAGCCTTAGGATCAGGTCTACCCCTGACTGCAGCATCCAGAACCAGGTCTGAGCCGGCTCTGACCATTACAGTTTCAGAGAGCAGCTTGCTGTCCAAATGTGCTTTAGGAGGCTCTGTTCAGTGGATTAACAGATCTTAAAGTTAGGTCATGTCTTAAAACTTGCTACATATAGTATGGAAAATATTAGTGCAAGGAAAAACTCTTACCAAAATCAGTCTTGCACTGCACTGAACCTGTGGATTCCGACGGTGTACTGAATACTTGGTTGGCATTTTTTGCAATCACCCTAAATTCATAGGCCTCTCCTTCTCCCAGGGCAGTGACGGTGTAGAAATTATCCGTCACGTTAGTGTAGTTGCACTTGAGCCAGCGGCCCTCACCCGTCAAAGTGTATGGCTTTCTTTCAATGATGTAGCCAACAATAGGACTGCCACCATCATTCAAAGGAGATGACCATTTCAAGGAGACAGTGCTTCTTGTGACATTGGTGACTTCTGGTTTACTTGGAGGATCTAAAGACAAGTCCCAAGATGTTTTGTCAGATAAAAATTTCTAATTAAAAGAAACAGTATAGGTATTATGCAACTAAACAGCAAAACTTACCAACTGGGTTTTGAGCAACTGCTCCCTTAGAGGCCTCACTGGCTTTACTGAGCCCAGCACTGTTCATGGCATAAACCCTGAACTGGTATTCCAGGCCTTCAACCAGACCTTCTACCTTGTAGTAGCATTCAAAGCATGGGATCTTATTCTCTCTAACCCATAATATATTGTTCCTCTCCTTCTTTTCAATCCAATAGCCTGTCACTTTGCTTCCACCATCGTGGTAGGGTTCCTCCCATTTCAGGGTCATTGTGTTTGCTGTGACGTTAAAGACTGAAGGTTTGGTTGGTGGGCCTGAAGGTGCTGTAATAAGAAATCAGGTTTGGTCATTATATTTTATTTTAAAAAGACCATGCAATTGAGATGTTTTGATAATGTATTTAATGCATAATTTTAAAAGAAAGGAAAATATAACCTGAAGGTAACACTTACAGAAAGGATGTTCTGCAACAATCGTCTCGGATTCTGTGGGCTTGCTCACCCCAAATCTGTTCTCAGCTGAGACCCTGAATGTGTATTGCATATATTTGGTTAGATGACTAACGTGAAGAGATGTTCGCTTCACACTGGAGTTGATCAGCTGCCAAGCTGTGGAGCCAGATTCACGCTTCTCTACAATGTAGTTGGTAATGTCAGTGCCACCATCATCCTCAGGTGGTTGCCAGTTAACAACACAGGACTCAGAGGTGATGGAAGAGATTTCAATTGGTCCAGTTGGAGGACTTGGTCTGCCAGTGACGTTAACTTCAACTGTAAATGTCTTCGTTGCTGTTACATTTTCAAGAGTGAGGTAGTATTTGCCTCCATCTCCTCTCATGGCCTCCTTGACTGAGATGCTGGCTCTGTCCTTTGTTACCTTGATGGTGACTCTGTCAGAGTTCTTCAGTCTCATTTCCTCCAACCTCCATGAGACTTTAGGAGCAGGTCTGCCACTAATAGGAACATCAATGGTGAAGGTGCTACCAGATCTGCATGTGACAAGTTGGTTGGGTATCTCACTCAGGTCAGCAGCAGGCTCAATATGAGGCTCTTTGACCAGCACAGGTGCTAGAGTTTTCTTTGGTCTGCTGTAGCCAGCCTCGTTTTTAGCCTTAACACGGAAGTCATACTCATCACCCTTGTTAAGCTTTTCAATAACATAGGTAAGATTCTTGGTGCTTCCGACCACTACCCATTTGTCTCCACCTTTTGGTCTAGCTTCTATGACGTAACACTGAATGCGGCTGCCACCATCGTGGTCTGGCTTCAACCAGCCTAGTGACACAGAGGTATCTGTGGTATCAAGGACATCCAGCCTCTTTGGAGATGATGGCTCTGCTGTAGCAATAACCGGTTCAGTGAGCTCAAAGGCCTCCCCCAGACCATGTTGATTTTCAGCTGACACTCTGAAGAAATAAGGCACACCCTCGAGCAGGTCCTGGATCTTGAGGATACCCTGTGTGCATTTATCACCAGACTGCTGCCATGTGCGTCGACTAGCCTCACGCCTCTCAACAATATAGTGATGAATACGAGCACCTCCATCACTGACAGGTGGCTGCCAAACAAGTGTGACGGTGCCTCTGGAGACCTCCTTGAAAGCTACATTCTGTGGAGGCCCAGGTGTATCCAATACCTTTACTACAAAGGTAACAGCCTTACTACCGCTGGAATTCTCCAGGTTAACTGTGTATTTGCCTGTGTCATATCTAGAGCATTTTTCAATACTTAAAGAGCTGTAGCCATCAGTAGTAGTTATCTCTGACATCCCGCTCAAATCTCCTTCCTCTTTCACCCAGGTAGCAGCAGGGATGGGCTTTCCTCTGAAGTGAATGCCCAAACATACCGAGCCTCCAGCCTTGACAATGTGTGTTTGTTTAAATGTGGCATCAATGTCCACCTGTGGAGCCGTTAACCTCTCAACAGCCTGGGCAGGTTCTGGAAGTTCCTTGTCTTCACCTCTGCCTACATGATTAACAGCTGCAACACGGAACTTGTACTCAGCTCCTGTCTGCAGACATGTCACCACATAGTTAGTTTCAGACACAAGTTCCTCATTTATCCTCTTCCACTCAGTTTCTTCTCCCTTCACCATTTCGATGATGTAGCCAAGGATATCCATGCCTCCATCATCAACTGGTTTTGTCCATTCCAAGCTAATGGAGGTATTGGTAGAATCTGACACACAAACCACCGATGGAGCACATGGGATATCTCTAGGCTCAGAAGCCCTGATTGGTAAAGAGATGTTGCTTGGAGCCCCAACACCGGCATCATTAACAGCCATGACTCTGAACTCATATTCCACATCTTCTGCAAGGTTAAGCACCTTGTGAGCACATTCGATAATTGGCTTTTTGGTAATAACTTTATAGAACCGAGTAGTTTTCTTTTCTCGTTTCTCTAGAATGTAGTGCTGGATAGGGTTGCCTCCATCAGACGTTGGCGGGATCCAAGACAGTGTAATACTCTCCCCTGTCACCTCAGTGGCATCAGGGGTTCCTGGGGCATCAGGAGTTGCTAGGAGGAAACATTTTAATATTTTACAGCCAGTAACTACAAAGATCACAAACAATATATTCTTAAAAGCATTCTTTTTTATGACTTTTGCACTTACTGTATTGCAACTGTGCAATGATGGGACTGGATTCCAAAGGCCTGCCAACACCAAACTTGTTAACTGCAGACACTCTGAACTGGTACTCATTGGACTTGATGAGTTTGGTTGCATTAAATGTACACTCCTTGCATTCATCAGACACCAAAGCCCAAGATATCTTGGCTGTCTCCCGTTTCTCAATGATGTAATGTGAAATCTCAGAGCAGCCATCATTCTCTGGTGGGTTCCAAGACAGAGTGCACTTGCCCTCTGAAATATTTGTGAATGTGATCGGTCCTACCGGCTCCCCTGGTGTGTCTGCATTACAAAGATTCACATTAAAATAAATAAGTCACAGCTATCCAAAAATAAAAATACAAAACAATACAATTGATATGGAAAAAGAATGTCAGCAGTTCTTACCCTGGACTTGGATTAGAATGCTCTCCTTTTTGGTTCCAGATCCATTGGTAGCTTCTACAGTATAGAGGCCACGATGTGAGCGGTCAGCATCTCGGACAAACAGGGTGCTGGATCCGGGAACATTAATAATGTCCATCAGCTTTTTGGTAATCTCCACATCATCTCTGTACCAGACAACTTTAGGAACTGGGCGTCCAGTGACGGTCACTTTTACTCGAATGTTATCTCCAGCCTTAACTGTCAAACCCTCGAAGTACTCTGGGCCAAACTCAATATTTGGAGCAGCTGTTTTAAGAAAGTTCATGTTAGTTTTATTGTCCATCAGTAAAAAAAAGGAAAGTTACATCCAGACTATTGGATCAATGGAAGTATTTCAGTGCCTGAATAACAGATTTTTAACAATTTTATATCCATTAGCTTTACACTGTAATATAAGATTCAAATTCTGTTGAAACTCACCATTTTCACTTCGTACAGCAATAAAGCCAGAGGAGTTGGATGGGGGACTGACAACACCAATAGCATTTCTGGCGATGACTCTAAACTCGTAACGTTCATTTGTCGTCAGTCCAGGGACAGTGTACTGAGAGTCATGTACTTCAGTCAGATTGGCTTTAAACCAGCGACCATGTCCTTGACGCTTCTCGATGCTGTAGCTTGTAATCTTGCTACCGCCATCACGTTTTGGTGCATCCCATTTTAATGTGACTGAATCACTGGTCACATCAGTGTAATCAGGCTGGCCAGGGGGGTCTGAAAGAGAGGGAATTTAAAGAGGTAACATGGTAAACAAGTACTTCCCAAAACCTCAGATGTTTCAGAATGTTAACGTCTTAACTGGGACTTACCAACAGGGCTCACAGCCATTGTTGGCTTGCTTTCATCGCTCATTCGGCTGAAGCCAGCATCATTCTGAGCGTAAACTCTAAAGGAGTACTCAAGACCTTCAATGAGCTCCAGAATCCTGTAGTCCAATTCTTTGATCAGGACTGTGTTCACCTTTTGCCACATGATGCTGTTCTTTTCCTTTTTCTCCACATGGTATCCCTGGATGGGGGTTCCACCATCATATATAGGTTTCTCCCACTGGATCGTCATGCCATCGTTAGTCACATTGTAAACAACTGGTTTTCCTGGTGGGCCTGGGGGCCTGAACTGGTGCTTGGCAATAACCATTTGTGAGATTAGAGGCTCACTGACACCATATCGATTTTCAGCACATACTCTAAACTGGTATTGAACACCCTTGATCAAATTGGGGACCCGGAATTGTGTGTCTTCGACACGGGAGCAAGCCATCTTCCAGTTTGACTGGGAGGCATCACGTTTCTCCACTGTGTAGCAGGTAATTTCTCCTCCACCGTCATCATTTGGTTCATCCCAGGATATCATGATATTGTCAGCTCTGACTTCATCCAGGCGGATGGGTCCTACAGGCTTTGATGGTGGTCCAAGAGTATTGACAAAGATATGGAAGGACTTCCTGTTGACCTTGTTGTCAAGACTCAGAGTGTATTTACCCTCATTCTCCTTCTTCACATTCTTAATCATTAGAGTTGCCTTGCTTTGAGTTGTCTTGAAGCGAATTTGGTCACTCTCTTTCAGAGGCAGGCTGTCTTTTAACCACTGCACAGCAGGTCTTGGCTTGCCTTTGTATGGTAACTCAATATGTACATTATGACCAAGACGGATGTTAAGTCTACCACCTGGGTACTCTCTAAGGTCTGCCTCAGGAGTGATAATGTAGTCAATGACCTTGATAGGGCCATGCTCAACAAAGTCACCCTGCCCTTTCTCATTTCTGGCTGCAACTCTGAAGTACACATCTGAGTGCTCCTTGAGTTTCTTGACCTCAAATTCACACTGTCTGCTGACTCCTCCCAATGACCACTCCTCGTCCTTCAGCTTCTTCTCAATGATGTAGTCAGAGATGATGCTGCCTCCATCGTAATCAGGCTTAAGCCACTGTAGTGTCACAGAAGTCTTAGATGAATCTTTCATAGATATTTCTTTGACTGGTCCTGGAGTTTCTGTAGCCTTGACAGACTCATGTGTTTCACATGGATCACCAATACCATTCTCATTCTCTGCTAAGACACGGAAGGAGAAGGATGTTTTTTCTGACAGGTCTTCAATAGTGTATGTAGTGTCTACGCATTTGTTTGTTACTGCAGAGTAAGATCTCTTAGAGGAGTCCCTCTTCTCAACAATGTAATTTGTTATCTCAGCTCCACCATCAAGAAGTGGAGGATCCCAACAGAGTGTGACCTTTCCACGGGTAACTTCCTTGATGGCCAGGTTCCTGCACTGAGCTGGGGTGTCCTGTACCTTCACAGACAGAGTCAGCATTTTAGGTTCTCCAACACCATTCTCTATCTTGACTGTGTACTTTCCAGTGTCAAGTCGGGTCACTTCACGCATGATGAGCACTGTTGTTGTGTCTGAGTGGTGGAACTCATATTTGGGATTATGATCTATGCATTCTTCCCCTTTGCTCCAAGAAGCCATGGGAGCAGGTCTGCCCTTCAGTGGAACAGTCAGCTCAACGTCTTTTCCTGCCTTCAGAATGTAGTGAGTTCTCATGGCAACATCTGAGTCAATCTGGGCTTCCTCTGTAAAGGTTACAAACATTTTAAGGTTAAAAAGATTTAGATAAATCTACGTTAGATATATTTTTTGCCAATCTTAAATATATTTATATATTACCCAAAATATCTTTGGCCTGCACAGGCTCAGTCATCTCTAAAGGTTCTCCTCGGCCAGCACAGTTCAAAGCAGAAACTCTGAAAAAGTAGTTTGTATCTGGTTTTAGATCATGAACTGTGTACTCTGTAGTCTTAACCTCGCCCTTGGAAGTAATCATTGCCCAGTCTTCTTCTCCTTCAACAAGCTTCTCCAGCATATAGCTGGTAACCTCACTACCTCCATCCCATTCTGGTTTTGACCAACCCAGGGTGATTGATGTCTTTGTGGAGTCCACAACCTTTAGCTTGCAGGGCTCATCTGGTGGATCTGTGAATAAAAACAATGAGTTAGAGAAGTAGAGTAAAAAAAAGGTTGGCATATAAATCTCAAAGTTTATCTTATCACGTACCAACTGGGTCAGCAGCCTTATAGTAGTCCGATACCTCAGAAAACGGCCCCTCACCAGCTTTGTTAATTGCACATACACGATACTGGTACTCATTTCCTTCTGTCAGGTGGTACACCATCTGTTTGGTGTCAGTGATGGGATCTTTATACACTCTAATCCAGCGTGAGCTCTTTTTATCACGTCTCTCTAAGTAGTAGCCAGTCACAGGGCTGCCACCATCCACTCCCGGTTTGTCCCATTCTACTAACATGGTGGACTTGGTAGTAGTGTTCACTTCTGGAGTCCGGGGTTGACCAGGAGTTACTTTGGAAAAAAAGGCAAAAATATATATTATTTTAGGGGAAACTATAAAAATATCAGTGTTTCGTAATAAAATGGTATAAGTAGTATAAAAAAACAAACAAAATCAAAATGAGTATTTAGTGTTACACAATAAGGAAATTATTAAACACTTAAAAACAACCTACCAAAGGCATTCTTAGCAATGACAGGGTCAGACTCAAGTGGCTCTCCAACTCCAAACTTGTTAACTCCCATTACTCGGAAGACATATTCATTTCCACGCACCAGCTTTGAAACTACAATGTGTGTTTTCTCATGTCTCTCTGAAACGGTTGACCAAACCACTCTGCTGGTCTCCCGCCTCTCGACAACATAGTGGGTAACTTTGGAACCTCCCTGGTCAGACTCTGGAACAGGCTCCCAGCTGAAGATTATCCGATCTGCTGTTATTGAGTTGAAATTAATCAGGCCAGCTGGGGGTCCAGGTTTGTCTTAAAGAGAAATGAAAGGCATGTGAACATTAAATATACACCCTTGTATTCATTTCTAATTTTATGAAATAGGATATGACATATAACAGAGAATTAAGTGCTTGAAGTACCAAGTATTTCAATCCTGATTGTAGAAGAGGCAGATCCCAGAGAATTTTTTATCTTAATCTCATATGAGCCAGTGTCAAAGCGAGTGGCATCCTTAATCAGAACAGCAGAAGAGTCTGTTGTACTTTCAACAGACACATTAGAAGAGGTTACCAGCTCCTTTCCGTCCTTGAGCCACTCAATAGTAGGCAGAGGCTTCGCAATAATTCCTACGCTTAGTTTTACTGACACCCCGGCTTTATACTGGACCACGTCAAGGTACTCAGGAGGAAGATCAATTGCTGGGGCACCTGTGAGAAAAATATATTTTGAATATCAAACAAATAATATCAAAGCAAAGCATCATAAAAAAGTTAAAAACAAATTCATAGCCTACCACATGCATCAACACAGGTGACTGGGCCAGCAATAAGAGATGGGTTACTGACAGACCCAACAGCATTTTTGGCATATACCCTGAACTCATAAGATTCATCTTGATTAAGTCCATATACAGTGAAGCCAAGCTCAATGATGTTTGTAAAGTTGGCCTTCACCCATCTGCCATTAGGGGCTTCCCTCCTCTCCACACTATAGCCAGTAATCTTGCTTCCTCCATCATATGGTGGGCGTTGCCAAGCAAGGGTGACAGAGCTCTTCGTGACTTCTGTGACACGAACATTTGCTGGGGGCTCTAGAGGATCAATGTGGAAAACATCCAAGTTAAGTGAAATAAAATAATTTGTTAAAAGGAACTTTTCATATTGTATATATAATCAAACTTAAGGTAGTGATTTGAAATAAAAATATCAAAGATTAACATAGGTTTACATCAATCTATGCCTGTTTAGGGCAGTATTGTGAAATAAAAGACTTACCGCAGGCATCAATAGCAAGCACTTCTTCAGATGTCTTGCTCATCTTTCCAATACCAGCAGCATTTTCAGCTGCTACCTTGAATTCGTAGATGAGACCCGGACAGATATTTGTAACCCGCCACTGGTTTATTGGTATGGCGGTTTTATTAACCTTCTGCCATAGGATGCTGCTTCTCTCTTTCATCTGGAGGTGATACCCAATTACAGGGCTTCCGCCATCACTGACTGGCTCATTCCAGCACACAGTCAGACTCTCTCTGGAAACAAAGCTAACCCACGGGGTGGACGGAGGACCCGGGATTACTGAAAGAGAACAGCATTTTGGAACAGTTGTTAAGAAAGGGCAATCAGTCATAAAACCACAGATAAAGAACATTTTTTTTTAAATGACTTACCGTAAGGCAGCTTGATCATGACTGGTTTAGTGTCTATGTGGCTGCTCACACCATAGCGATTCTCAGCCTTGATTCTGAACTGATACTCTTCTCCCTTGGTTAGCTTAGTCACCTTGATGGCACTTCTAGCAATGCTAGTTGACACCTCTACCCAAGCAGGAGTACTTGTTTCACGCTTTAGAACAATGTAGTTGGTAACAGGACTGCCACCATCATATTCTGGAGAATCCCACTTTAGACAAACAGAGGTCTCTCCGACCTCTCCTATCTGAACTGGACCAACTGGAGGTCCAGGTCTGTCCAGAACGATGAAAATAAGCGAGATCTTGGTTGTACCTCCTGCATTTGAGGCTGTGATTTCATATTTGCCTGCGTCACTTGAAACGCTTTCTTTTAGAGATACAATTAGGCTGTCAGGAGTTACTTCAGTCAGAAGTCTCTTGGATCCTTTGATGAGAACATTATTTTTGGACACTGTCACCTTTGGCAGGGGCTTGCCAGTGAGAGGAATCTCAAAAGTCAGGTCAGATCCCGCTTTTACATAAACTGTATTCTTGGGATAGTTCTTCAAGTCAAACTCTGGAGCCTCTGTAAAAGAAAATCAGGACAACAATATGAAACATGATCAAATACAACTTCAAATAAAATTTACAGCACACATAGTTGCTCAACTTTGAAAGTGTAGGCAATAATACATTTACCTTTAAGCTACATGCAGATCTGAAAGTTAAGTTATATTTTTATATTGAATAACAAAATCTTGTAGAAAATAAAATTAAAAATACCCTGTATTTCCTTGACGATAACTGGAACAATCATCTCCTTAGGTTCACTGAGTCCAGCATGGTTTTCAGCACGAACTCTGAAGAAGTACTCAGCTCCTTCCCTCAGATTCTTAATGGTATGAGTCAGGTTCCTTACAGTTGCACACTTCACCCACTTGGTCTGACCCTTTTCCACGGCATCGATCAGGTAACCAGTGATTCTGCTTCCACCATCATATTCTGGTCTTGTCCAGGCAAGTGTAACACTGTCTTTGGTAACATTTGCAACTCCAAGTTTCATGGGTGGACTTGGTACCTCTGAAACACACAGTTTTAATTTTTATTAGCTTATGCATGGACAAAGTCACACGTTTGTGATTGATTAATCTATCCTATATATGTATATACACCCATTTATATTTATATATATATACCTGTAATCTTTGTTCCTCCCTTGGCCTCTTGAGGTACACCCACTCCATTTTCATTTTCTGCTATAACTCTGAAGTAATAGACAGCTCCCTCCTGCAAGTCTTCCACCTTGTAGGTCAAAGCATGACAGTTGCTGGTTACAGTCACCCAGGCCTTCTTACTTGCCTCACGTTTCTCAACATGGTAGGCTTTTACTGCATCACCACCATCGTTTTCTGGAGCCTCCCACATCAGTGTTGCAGAATCCCTGGTTACGGATGAAACTTTAACATTGACTGGGGGTCCAGGGGAGTCGAGCACTTTTACCACCATTGGCAAAGTTGCTTTACCCAGTGGTGATTCAATAGTGACACAGTACTCTCCAGAGTCATTCCTAGTTGACTTCTCAATAGTCAGTGATGTGCTGGATTCTGTTGATTCAATCATTCCTCTTGCTGTTAGATCTACACCTTCTCTGCTCCATTCAACCAATGGTGCTGGTTTCCCCTTGAATGGCACATTAAGGGTAAAAGATGTTCCGTGTTTTACTACAAGAACCTTACGCATCTCAATATCAGCATCGAAAGACGGTTCTGACGTTCTATCTGCTGCTGCAGCTGGATCTGAATAAGGGCTTCGCACACTGCTTCCAATTTTATTAATTGCCTTTACACAGAATTCATACTCTACATCTGTCTTTAGTCCCGTGACTGTGAATTCCAAGCTTTTGGTAAGAGGAATTGCCTCAACCCATCTGGCTAGTTCTTCAGGCGATTCAGGTGCCTCTTCCTCCTCATATTCCTCTTCATCTTCCTCCTCATCTTCTGGCTCTGGTTTAGGAATAAATTCTCTGTATTCCACACTATATCCTAAGATGGCTGTACCACCATCATTTGTTGGTGGTTTCCAAAGGATAGAGACAGTGTCTTTGGTTGAATCTATAATCTTTGGTTTGGTTGGACGAGAGGGAACAACCAGAGGATCTAGTGCTCTGAAGGTTGCAGATGGATCACTGGCAGGACTCAGGCCAGCTGCATTTTCAGCATAGACTCTGAAGTCATACTCACAACCCTTGCGAAGTTTTGTCACCACCAAGGTAACCTCCTCAACTAGAGCTCTGTTCACACGGACCCATCGCATGCCGGTCTTCTCACGCCGCTCAACTACATATCCAATGATGGGACTGCCTCCATCACTGGCTGGCTTACACCAGGTGAGGGTCATTGAATCTCCTGTTATGTAGGTCACATCAACACCAACTGGGGCAGCTGGAATTGTGTATGGATCAGTTATTTTTATAGCCTCACTTTCAAGAGCCTCGCCAACTCCATGCTTGTTAACCGCTAGAACTCTAAAGATATATTCATTGCCCTTAAGTAGACCTGTGACCTTAAAGTAGGTTTTTGTGACATCACCCTTAACTAATGTCCATGCCAAACGACTGGTCTCACGCTTCTCAACAACATAATGTGTGATATTAGCACCACCAGTTTCTTGAGAAGGACCCCATGACAAAGTGCACTCCTCAGCTGTAAGACCAGTGATCTGAAGAGGGCCTGCAGGGGGAGCTGGTTTATCAATTATCACACAGTTTATTGGCATAGTGACTATTCCACCAATGTTCTGTAGAGTTAGCAAATACTGTCCAGAATCTCTCCTGATACAGTCCTTTACAACGACAGAAGTGCTTGTATCTGTGGTAACAATCTGAATCCTTGCTCTTAACTCAATCTCTTTGCCATCTTTTGTCCAGCAGACGACAGGGGCAGGACGTCCAGCAAGGTCAGCATTGATCTTTAGAGTTTCTCCCGCCTTCACAAACACAGTCTCTCTAAACTTGACATCCATCATGATGCGTGGTGGATCTACGTCATCTTTAACAGTAATAGGGCCTGTGTTGTATGATGGCATACTGAACTGTCCAGCTGCATTCTTAGCAATGACACGGAAATCATATTGGCTGTTTTCTGTGAGGCCGGTAGCATTGTAGTGGGTCTCTGGCACATTGGTGAAGTTACACCTTGTCCATCTACCTTCAGGGAGGTCCCTTCGTTCAATAATGTATCCGGAAACCTTTGAGCCGCCATCATACTCTGGTTTTTCCCAAGACAAAGATACAGATGTTCTTGTAATAGCAGTAACCACGGGTGTGCCTGGAGGATCACAGGGATCTCTCGCTGCAACAGCCTCACAGGCCTTGCTGCATTTACCAATACCAGCAATATTTTCTGCATATACACGGTATTCATAGAGCATTCCCTCTTCAATACCATTGACTTTGTATTCTGTGTCTTTGATCATTCCTCTGTTCATCTTTGTCCAAAGAATGCTTGAACGTTCCTTCCTCTCCAAATGATAGCCTAGAACAGGACTTCCCCCATCAGTGACTGGCTCATTCCAGGTCACCAACATGTATGACTTGGTAGCCAGTTTTACAATAGGAGTTGAAGGAGGTCCAGGCTGTTTGAAGTTATATTGAGCAGTAATTCCAGGAGAATCAAGAGAGCTGCTCTTTCCATAACGGTTAACTGCATAGATGCGGAATTGATACTCTGCCCCTTGCGTTAGGCGACCAGCTTTGAATGATGTTCTAGCCACATTACTTGCTACCATTTGCCACTCTTGTGTGTTTGTATCTCTCTTCTCAACAATATAGTTGCTGATGGAGCAACCACCATCATATTCTGGTGGGGACCAGGATAGTGTAATACTATCTGAAGTAACGGCATCAACCTTAATACCTTTAGGTCGACCTGGCTTGTCTAGGACAACAACTCCAATACTAGCTGTTACAGTTCCAGCAGTGTTGGCCAAGGTGATTTCATATTTTCCAACATGTTCTTTGTTAGCTCCTTTAAAAATGATTTTAGATGAGGTTGCTGTATTAATGATTGTTACTGATGAAGTTTGCTTCAATGGAAGGGTATCCTTCTTCCATGATACAACAGGCTTTGGCCTGCCTCTTATGGGAACTTCAAGTGTGAGATCATCCCCAGCCTTGACACTATATGTTGTAAACAATAAATGTACTGATGGTTCTATTGCAATATCTTTTGCAACCACAGGCAGTCCAAGATCCTTTGGCTCACTTTTTCCCATCTCATTGATTGCAACAACTCTGAACAGATATGCTTCATTGGGATTCAGATTTGGAATAGTTGCTTCTGGTACTTTGACTGTGCATGCTGTGCCCCATTTGTCACCATGCTTAGGTTTGAATTCTACATTGTAGCACATGACTTTGCTTCCACCATCATGAGTAGGTTTCTCCCAGGCAAGGGATACACTGGTCTTTGTTACATCCACAAGAGAGATCTTGTTTGGTGGTTGAGGCACTTCAGATACTTTGATCTCTTTGGTTTCAACTGTCTGCCCCTGACCATACGCATTGACGGCACAGACTCTGAAGTAGAATTTTCCGCCCTCAGGCAGGTCTTCAATTTTGAATGAGTTTGCAATGCAGTTGCTAGTCACAGTTGTGTAGGCCTTCCTCACTGACTCCCTCTTTTCCACAATGTAATTTGTAATTTTTGCACCGCCATCGTTAACTGGTGTATCCCAGGCCAGAGTGACTGAATCCTTCTTGAGCTCCTTAACAGCAAAGTTTTGTGGTGCACTTGGTGTGTCAAGCACTCGTACTGAAATGACAGCCGATTTTGTGCCACTGGTGTTCTCCAATGTTAACGAATATTTCCCACTGTCAAAGCGGTTTACATTGTCAATTACAAGCATGGTGTATGAAGAAGTAGTATCGATTGCAGCACGGTCTGTTAGAGTACTCTCAAGTTTCTCCCATTTCACAGATGGGTTAGGTCTCCCTCTAATGGGTACAAACAAACGTAGTGTTCCACCAGCCCGGACAGACACCACCTTTCTTAGGTCAGCATCCAACTCCATCTCTGGTGCATCTGCTCTGTCAGAGGTTACAACTGTGCCATGAACATTAGCTGCCTCCCCAACTCCTTCTGAGTTGATGGCACAGACACGGAACTGATATTCTCCACCCTCCTTAAGATCTGTGATGGTGATTTTAGTGACTTGTATACCTGTAGGTGGCGTACACATGGTCCATTCTTTTTCAACGGGTGCCTCTATTGCTGGTGCAACTTCTGCTTCCTCAGTTAATTCAGGTTGTGGTGTATACTCTCTCATTTCAACAATGTATCCCTTGATGTATGCTCCACCGTCAAAGTTAGGTTTTCCCCAGGAAAGACACACAGAAGACTTTGTGTAATCTGTCACTTTTGGGTGGCGTGGAGGTCCAGGCGGTGTTGTGGCATCACATGCTCTATAGAAAAGGGACAGTTCGCTCAGGTCCCCTATTCCAGTCTCATTCTCAGCAGCAACGCGGAACTCATAAAAGTGATCGGGCATAAGACCAGTGACCTTGAAGTGTGTGTCTTTCAAAATTTGCCTGTTGCATTTTGTCCATCTCACACTATCTTTGTCACGTTTTTCAAGGTGATAGCCTTGAATGTCAACTCCACCATTGTTTTCTGGAGCTGTCCAAGATAGAACCATGGAGTCCCTTGTGATTTGACTTGCTTCGGGGGTTCCAGGAGCACTTGGTGGTTTGTATGGATTGCGTGCAATAATAGGTTCACTCTGAAGATAATCACCAGCACCAAATTTGTTGACTGCCCTTACTCTGAAAATGTACTCATTTCCTGGAAGTAAATTTGTGACTTTATGGTACAGGCTTTTTACATTTTGTGCAGCTATGGTCCAGGACAACCTGCTCGTTTCTCTCTTCTCCAAAACATAGTGGCTGATACTAGCTCCACCATCCAGAGCTGGTTCAGACCAGGACAGAATGCATCTGTCAGCCATGACTCCAGTCACTTTAATGGGTCCAAAGGGTGGTCCTGGTTTGTCAAGGACTTTAACAGTGATGGGGAAGGTTTTTGTACCACCAAGATTTTTGAGAACAAGGTCATAATGACCACTATCCAGTTTAGTAACATCCTTTATGGTCATAGCCGAAAGTTTCTGTGTAGTTTTAACTTCAATGCGCCTAGCTTTCTCCATTTCTTTGCCCTCTTTAAGCCAGACGACCTCAGGTTGTGGAGAGCCATAAATGTCTGCATCAAAAATCAAAGTCTCCCCAGCATTAACAACAATTATATCCTTGTATTTGGGGTCCATTGAGGCCCTTGGTGCTTCAATTTCATCAGTTACAGTTATAGGTCCAGAGCTGTCTGATGGTTCACTGAAGACTCCGGCAGCATTCCTTGCAATAACTCTGAATTCATACTGCGCATTCTCTGTCAGACCAGTAACTGTATACTCAGTCTCAATTATGTTAGTAAAGTTGGATCTTATCCAGCGATCCTCAGGTGAAGAGAGATCTTTAATCTCTACAATGTATCCATTAACTTTACTACCACCATCATACTGAGGTTTCGTCCACTGAATTTTTATTTGATTTTTACTAATAGATACAGCTTCTGGAGCACCAGGAGGATCACATGGATCACGGGCAACAAAGGACTCTGAGACCTTACTGCAGCGGCCAATACCAACAATATTTTCAGCATACACTCTGAATTCATAACCAATCCCCTCCTCAAGATTGCAGGTCTTGAACTGAGTATCTGTAATACGAGTCTTGTTTAGCTTGTTCCAGAGGATACTACTTCTCTCTTTACTTTCTAGATGGTAACCAATAATTGCACTTCCACCATCAGTGACTGGCTCATTCCATTCAATGATCATCATTTCCTTAGTTGCAGATTTAACACGTGGTGTTCCAGGAGGCCCTGGTGGTTTGTAAGGATACTGTACTACAATAGCCTTGGAGTCAAGTGCCGCACTCTTTCCATATCTGTTTTCAGCTATGATTCTAAACTGATATTCGGCACCAGTCTTTAACTTTGTTACCTTGAAAGCTGTTCTGGCTAGCTGTGTAACAACTGTCTGCCAGGTTTGGGTGGTGGTATCTCTCTTTTCCACAATATAGTTCTTAACTTGACAACCACCAGTGTAAACTGGGGGCTCCCATGACAGATGGACAAAAGTGTTGCTCACTTCCACCACTTTGACTGGACCCTTTGGTGGACCAGGCTTGTCCAGGATAATAATAGTTATATCTTCTGTGATGGTGCTGACAGTGCTTGTTGCAGTAAGAGAATATTTGCCAAAGTCATCTTTGCAGGCCTCCGTAATCTGAATTCCGGTTGTTAATGGAGTGTTAAAAACATTAACTCTTGATGTCACTTTTAAAGCCTGGCCATCCTTTGTCCAGCTGACTTTTGGTTTGGGCCTGCCGAGTACAGGGAACTCCAGTTTAAGATCTTTTCCAGCTAACACACTGTAAGTATTAAATTGCATCTTGATGCTTGGTTCTATGGTCATGTCATTTGCAATCACTGGAGCAGCAAGTGCCTTTGGCTCACTCTTTCCTTTCTCATTGTATGCAATGATCCTGAACAAGTATTCTGTTCCTGCCGTTAGGCCTACAACAGTTCCCTCACAAGTCTTTGGGTTTGCTGCAACTCCCCACTTATCTGTGCCTTTAGGCTGCATCTCAATGAGGTAGCCACCAATCCTGCTGCCACCATCATGTTCAGGTTTCTCCCAGGCCAGAGTGGCACTGTTTTTGGTGACATCTGTAAGGAAAACTTTTCCAACAGGGAGTGGTACTTCAGACGCCTTTGAAGCAGTTTTTGTTTCTACAGCCTGACCTATTCCATATTCATTCTCAGCCATGACTCTGAAGTAGTACATAGCTCCTTCAATTAAATTTTCAACCTTAAATGTTGTCTTGGTGCATTTTGTTGAAACATTTGCATATGCTTTCCTGGTCGATTCACGCTTATCAATGACATAATTCTTGATTTTTGAACCTCCATCAATCACTGGTGCGTCCCATACAAGAGTAACAGAATCCTTTCTGATATCTTTAACAACAAGGTTCTGTGGGGATCCAGGTGTGTCCAGCACTTTTACAGAAACAAATTCAGAGACACAGCCACTGCTATTGGTTAAGCTTAAGGTGTATTTTCCTGAGTCATGTCTGTCACAACAGTCAATAGAGAGTTGCGTGAAATTCACTGCTTTCTCAACCACAGCCTTCTCAGAAAGATCTCCATCATCCTTTGTCCATTTAATTTCTGGTATTGGCCTTCCCTTAAAAGGAACATAAATTCTTACAGATCCACCAGCTTTTATTGTGATGCCTTTTCTCAGCTCAGAATCAAGATGGATTTGTGGTGGATCTGTCCTTTCCTCTGGTTTCGCTGTTCCAGAAAGAACAACTGGTTCACCAACTCCCATTTTGTTCAAAGCACAAACTTGAATTTTGTACTCCTGGCCCTCAGTAAGTTTGGGAATCTCATACTTGTTAACACGTAGGCCAGTAGGGGGGGTAACCATTGCCCATTCTTCCTTTTCAGCTTGGCATACTTCAACAATGTAGCCTTGAATGGCACTACCTCCATCAGTCAAAGGCTTTCCCCAAGAAACTGTAATGGAGGTTTTTGTGGAGTCAATTACATTAAGATATGTTGGAGCACCAGGTTTGTACTTCGGATCAGATGCCTTGTAATATGAACTTGGAAGGCTTGGTTCTCCTATTCCTACAATATTTTCAGCAGATACCCTGAATTCGTACTCATGGCCTGTGGTTAGGCCTGTAACTCTGTATGATAGATCAGTAACTTTTTGTCTGTTACATCTGGTCCACTTGATTCCAGCTCTGTCCTTCTTTTCAATTATATAACTGATAATCTCACTGCCACCATCAGTTTCAGGAGCAGACCAAGTTATAGTCATGCCATCATGGGCAATGTTGGATACATCTTCAATGTGAGGTGAACCAGGTGGAATGAATGGATTCCTCATAGTAACTGCATCAGACTCAAGTGCCTCACTGACTCCATGATGGTTAACTGCCATTACCCGAAAGATATACTCATTGCTCTCCAGTAATTTGGTAACTTTGTAGCATGTGGTGTTACAAGTGTTAGAAACAAGAGTCCAAGCTAGACGACTTGTCTCTCTCCTCTCAATGATATAATGTGTAACAGCACTACCTCCATCATGTAATGGTGCCCGCCATGCCAGTGTGCATCTGTCCTCAGCTACTCCAGTGACATGGAGAGGTCCTTCACATGGACTAGGCTTATCCAGGACCAAAACCTTAAATGGAACAGTTTCACTGCCAGCTCCATTGGTCAGCAGAAGGGTGTAAGTTCCACCATCAACTCTAACACAGTCCTTGACCATGATCATTGCATGGTTTTCTGTGTTTTTGATCTCTAGCCTGATTGTATTCTCAATAGGCTTATCATCCTTAAACCACTGGATTGAAGGTAGTGGCTTACCATGGACATCTGCATCCAACTTGAATGTCTCTCCAGCATTTATTATAACAGTTTTGGTAAAGGCAGGATCGATTGAGTACTTAGGGGCCTCAACATTGTCACTTGCTATGATAGGTCCACTGTTGTATGATGGCTTGCTGACTGTCCCAACAGCATTTTTAGCAAAAACTCTAAAGTCATACTGTGCATTTTCAGTAAGACCAGTAGCAGTAAATTGGGTCTCTATCACATTTGTAAAGTTTGCCCTCACCCACCTGCCTTCTGGCAGATCTCGTTTTTCTATAAGGTAGCCGGTGATATTACTGCCTCCATCATATTCAGGTTTAGTCCACTGAATAACAATACTATCTTTGGTCACATGGATGGCCTCTGGTGTGCCAGGGGGATCACATGGGTCACGAGCAAAGCAGCCCTCTGAAATCTTACTGCTTCTGCCGATACCAACAATATTTTCAGCATAAACCCTATATTCATATTCGATACCCTCGTCCAAAGGATGACTCTTGAAAGTAGTTCCATGAATAAGTGTCTTGTTAATCTTGACCCAGAGAATACTATTTCTCTCCTTCCTTTCGAGATGGTAACCCAAAACAGGACTACCTCCATCTGTTATAGGCTCATGCCACTCAACAATTTGGTGGTCTCTGGAGAGAGAAGTGATAAAGGGAGTACCTGGTGGGCCTGGTTCTCTGTAAGGATATTGAGCCACTACTGCTGATGAATCTAGACCTTGACTCTTTCCATAGCGGTTCTGTGCAATAATCCTGAACTGGTACTCAGCTCCAGTCTTTAGTCTAGAAACTTTGATGGTTGTTCTAGCACAGTTACTGCTCACATTCTCCCATGTTGTTGCATTAGTATCTCTTTTTTGTACAATGTAGTTTGAGATTTGGCATCCACCAATGTATTTCGGTGGGTCCCATGAAATTGTTACACTTTGCGTTGTGATTTCATCAAATCTCACTGGACCAGATGGAGGACCAGGTTTGTCAAGTACAATTATTTCGATTGCACTTTCTTTCTTTCCTGCTGAGTTAGTGGCAGTTATGGTATACATACCAATATCATCACTTGCTGCCTCCTTAATGCTTAAAGTTGTATGTGTGGATGTATTGTGAATATTGACTCTGGTGGTAAACTTCAAAGGGGCTCCATCCTTGGTCCATACAATTGTTGGTTTAGGGCGTCCAAAGATGGGAATATCAATGTTCATGTCTTTACCAACATGAACACTGTAACTGCTGAATGCAGGACGGATATCTGGCTCAAAGACTAGATCCTTGGTCATCACTGGACCAGCAAGAACCCTTGGGTCACTCTTTCCTTTGTCGTTGATTGCAGTAACTTGAAAGAGATATTCATTTCCTGGGTTCAGTTTGGACACTGTAGTTTCCATTGTCTTAAATGTGTTTACAGCAGACCATTTATCCTGGCCCTTCAACTTTACTTCAAGCAGGTATTTTTGAACTCTGCTCCCACCATCATATTCTGGCCTCTCCCATGCCAAGGAGATGCTTGTTTTTGTCTGATCTGTAACAATCAAATTCCTTGGAGATTGGGGCACTTCTGAAACCTTAAGAGGGTCTACTGTTGATGCTGGTAGGCCAACACCAAAAGTATTTTCAGCAAGGACTCTGAAGTAGTAACTACAGCCTTCTTGGAGGGATTCAATCTTACAGGAAAGAGTATGACAATTTGTTACAGCAGCTGCATACGTTTTACGAGTGCTTTCTCTCTTTTCAATAATGTAATTCTTGATTTTGGACCCACCATCTAAAAGAGGTGGCTTCCATGCCAGTGTTACTGACTGGTTTGTAATCTCCTCTACTTTAAGATCAACAGGGGCACTGGGTGTATCTAGGACACGGACAACAACAAATGCAGACTTGGTTCCACTGGAGTTCTGAGCAGTAACTGTATATTTTCCACTGTCATTTCTGCTCATTTTATCAATAACAAGTGATGTATAACTGCTGGTTATTTCAACCTGAGCAGTCTCTTTGAGGGGTGCTTCATCTTTGTCCCACTTAATAGTAGGAGTGGGTCTTCCTTTAATGGGGATAAATAGTCTAAGGGAAGCACCAGCTTTGATGGTCACAATCTTTCTAAGTTCTGGGTCAATGTCAAGATCTGGTTCCTCTGTCCTATCCTGCGCAACCACAGCTCCAGAGACATCTGCATGTTCACCCACTCCTACCTTGTTTATGGCACACACTCTAAATTTGTATGCCTGGTTTTCCTTCAAATTTTTTACTTCAAATTTAGTTGTCTTTACACCTGTTGGGGGAGTGCAAATTATCCATTCCTCAGCAGATACATCGGTGGCAGAGACTGATTCATCTGGGGCATCAGGTTGCACCACTGGCTCTGTAGCAATGCTACACTCAACAATGTATGACTGAATTTCACAGCCTCCATCACATACAGGCTTCCCCCATGACAGAAATACTGATGACTTTGTTGTGTCAGTGACCTTGGGGTTTTGTGGTGGGCCTGGTCGGAAGATGGGATCAAGAGCTTTGTAGAAAACAGTTGGGGTGCTTGGCTCACCAATGCCCACTGAATTTTCAGCAGCAACTCTGAATTCATAAATATGACTTTCCAAGAGTCCAGTTACTTTAAAAGTCAGATCTGTAACTGTTTGCCTGTTGCATCTTGTCCATCTCACTCCTTCTTTGTCATGCTTCTCAATTATGTATCCAGTAATTGGACATCCACCATCCTCAGAAGGAGCTTCCCAGCTGAGCACCATTGAATCCTTTTTAACATCTGAAACTTCCAGATTTTTTGGTGTTCCAGGTAGAACATATGGATCTTTAATTATAACAGGAGCAGACTCAAGTGGTGCACCCACTCCAAACTGATTAACGGCATGAACTCTGAAGATATATTCATCTCCTTCAAGAAGCTTATTTACTTTGAGACAAATATTTTGTACTTTTGGATCAACAACAGTCCAAACAAGCCGGCTTGTCTCTCTTCTCTCAACGATATAGTGAGATATTTTGCTACCACCATCTTGAATTGGTGGTTTCCATGCAAGAGAACAATGGTCTTTGGTTACTCCTGTAACAACAAGAGGCCCTTGTGGTTCCCCAGGTTTATCAAGAATGACAACATTGATTTGAGTAGCTTTCTCTCCTCCTGGATTTCTTAGCAACAGTGTGTATTGGCCTCCATCTGAAAGTTTAGATTCCTTTACAAACATGAAAGCTTTAGTCGGTGTGTTCTTAATTTCTCTATGAATAGTGTTGCTGAGTTCCTGTTCTCCCCTCAGCCAGTGAATAGAAGGCAACGGCTTTCCATGAACATCAGCATCAATTTTGAAGTTTTCTCCAGCATTAACCACAAGCGTCTGTGTGTATTCAGGATCAATGCTGATCCGTGGTGGTTCAATCTCATCCCTGGCGGTAATAGGGCCAGTGCTGTATGAAGGAAGACTAAAGACACCAGCCGCATTTCTGGCAATAACCCGAAACTCATATTCTTTATCCTGCACAAGTCCAGTTGCAACATATTCAGTCTCAATGACATTTGTGAAATTTGCCTTTAACCAACGACCCTCAGGAAGCTCCTTCTTTTCAACAATGTAACCAGTTACCTTTGCACCACCGTCATATTCAGGCTTTGTCCAAACAATGGTTATGGAGTCTTTAGTGATCTTTGTTGCTTCTGGAGTGCCTGGAGGATCACAAGGATCTCTTGCAATATGTCCTTCAGATACTTTGCTTGCTTTACCTATTCCTACAATGTTTTCAGCATAAACTCGGAATTCATACTCCATTCCTGGTTCCAGACCTGTGGTCTTGAAAGTTTGATCCGTTATGAGAGACTTGTTAAGTTTGACCCATAAGATGCTGTTTCTCTCTTTGCGTTCAAGATGGTAACCTAAGATATTACTTCCGCCATCATTTACAGGTTCATTCCAGATTACAACCATGCTGTCCTTAGAGCAGGCTGCAATTTTTGGTGTTCCTGGTGGTCCTGGGAGCTTGTATGGATACTGAGCAACAATACTTTCAGAGGAAAGAGCTGGGCTCTTTCCATACCTGTTTTCGGCAACAATCCTAAACTGATACTCAGAGCCAGTCTTCAACCTGCCAGCCTTAATTTGTGTTCTTGCAATGTTTTGAGATACTACCACCCAATTGGTTGTGGATGTGTCTCTTTTTTCCACAATGTAGTTTTTAATGGTACATCCACCGTCATACTCTGGTGGATTCCAGGAGATTGTAATACTATCAGAAGTGACCTCCTCCACTTTGACAGGCCCCCTTGGCTGGCCAGGTTTGTCCAGAACCACAATGCCAATATTTATTGTTGTCTCCCCTGCTGTATTGCTAAGAGTAATACTGTATCTGCCAACATCATCTTTAGCGGCCTCTTTAATGTTAAGGTTCAGCATTGTGTCTGTTGCCCCAAAGTTGACTCTGGTAGTTCTCTTCAGCCCCTGACCATCTTTCATCCAAGTAACGGCTGCTTTTGGACGTGCCACATATGGAACCTCCACTGTCAATTCTTCTCCTGCCAGCACACTGAATGTGTTGAACAGCATTTTAGCAACTGGTGCAATGATGAGATCTTTGACTATCACAGGGACACCTATTTGACGAGGTTCACTGGTTCCTTTCTCATTCTTCGCTGCTACACGGAACATATACTCTTCACCAGCATTAAGTCCACTGATAGTTGCTTCTGTGTCTTTAACTATCATAGCCTGTGTCCACTTATCCACACCTTTAGGCTGAATCTCAACAACATAACAGCCAATTCTGCTACCCCCATCATGTTCTGGCTTTTCCCAAGATAGGGTAACACTGTTTTTGGTGACATCTTTCAGTGTGATTTTACCAGGTGGCTGTGGCTTCTCTGACACTTTAACTGATTCAGTCATTTCAATTGGCAACCCAATACCATATTCATTTTCAGCCAGGACTCTAAAGTAATAATTGCACCCCTCTAGCAGCTGGTCAACTGTGAAGGAGGTAGTATGGCAGTTGGAGTTAACTGTGGCATATGCCTTTCTTGTTGACTCACGTTTTTCAACTATATAATTCTTAATCTTGACCCCTCCATCATTCACTGGGGGGTCCCATGTTAAAGAGACAGCTTCCTTTGTGACAGATGTGATTTTTAGATTCTGTGGGGCACTTGGTGTATCAAGAACCCTGACTTGGACTGTAACTGTTTTGGAGCCAGATGAGTTTTCAATGGTGAGGTTATATTTTCCACTGTCAAATCTATTGACATTTTCAATTACAAGTGATGTGTATGAAGATGTGCTGTCAACTGTTGCCCTCTCTACAGCTTCACCTTCACCTTTAGACCACATAGCCTGAGGTGCTGGTCTGCCTCTTATTGGGACAAACAGTCTAAGTGTGCAGCAAGCCCTCAGACTGACCACTTTGCGGAGCTCAGCATCTAAATCTATTTCAGGAGGGAGCAATCTGTCCTCAGCTTTGGGATTTCCTGGAACAGTTGCTGCCTCTCCAACTCCTTCACTATTAATGGCAGAAATATTAATCTTATATTCCTGGTTTTCTTTCAGATTAGTAATGGTAAATGAAGTTGCGAGGAGACCTTCCTTAGGTGTTGCTATGGTCCATTCCTCCTCTTCCTCTTTTTCAGATGGGATGCATGTCTCAACAATGTAACCAGTTATATCAGAGCCACCATTATATACGGGTTTGTTCCAGGCAACAGTAATTGAAGATTTGGTAGTATCCAAAATTCTGGGGTTGCATGGAGGGCCTGGCTTGTACAGCCCATCAGTAGCTCTGTAAAATAGAGTGGGCACACTTGCTATGCTCACTCCAGCAGCATTCTCAGCAAATATTCTAAATTCATATTCATGTCCTGGAGTAAGCCCAGTTGCCTTGAACTGCAGGTCTTTGACTTTTCTCATATTACATTTCACCCATCTGAGGCCAGCTCTGTCTTTCCTTTCAATACTGTAGTTGGTGATTGGAGTTCCACCATCACTCTTAGGTGCTTGCCACATTACAATCATTGAATCTTTAGTAATAGCTGTCACTTCAGGATTTTCTGGAGGGTCAGGTTTCACATATGGGTTGTCCGCAATAGTGGGTTCTGATTCCAGAGATTCCCCAAGGCCATATTTGTTTACAGCCATTACTCTAAATATGTATTCATTCCCTTTGAGAAGCTTGGTTACCTTGTGTTGTGTAACCTGCAGCCCTGAAATAACATTGGTCCAAACCAGTCTACTTGATTCACGTTTCTCAACTACATATCCTTCGATCTTTGCACCACCATCATCTGTTGGTGGGGCCCAGGTTAGTACACAGTTGTCTGCAGTTACATTAGACACTTTTAGGGGTCCAACTGGTGGTCCAGGTCTATCAAGCACTTTAACATTGAAGACATGTTTTGCAAATCCACCAACATTAGTGGCAGTCAAAACAAATTCACCTCCATCTGCTCTAACAGAGTCCTTGTTGGTCAGAACTGTTGCTAGTTCAGTAAACCTAACCTCTCGCTTCATTGTGTTCTCAACCTCCTTTCCATCCTTTGTCCAAGTCATAGATGGGATTGGCTGACCAGCAATATCAGCTTCAAGCTTAAAGGACTCTCCTGCCTTAAGAAGAACAGTGTCCTTGAAGATGGCATCAACCATAATGCGTGGCTCTATTATGTCATCTTTGCAAATAATTGGGTCAGATGGTTCAGATGGTATGCTTACTGCTCCTGCTGAGTTTCTAGCTATTACCCGGAACTCATATGAGGTGTCCTGAGTCAGTCCACTCACTGTGAATGCTGTCTCAATAATGTTAATAAAGTTTGCTCTCATCCAACGACCAGCAGGCAATTCTCTCTTTTCCACTGTGTAACCAGTAATCTTAAAGCCACCATCATAGGCAGGCTTTGTCCACTGAACAGTGATGGCATTGTTGTTCACAAAAATTGGAACAGGCTGACCTGGGGGATCCACAGGGTCCAAGGCCAGTATTGCCTCAGAGGCTTTACTGGGTTTACCAATTCCTGCCATGTTTTCAGCCAAGACACGGAATTCATAAGCAACTCCATCTTCAAGTCCTGTTGACTTAAAAACATTGCCTTTCACAAGACTATTGCTGATCTTATGCCATATTATGCTGCTCCTTTCCTTCCTTTCAACATGATATCCAATTATTTCATTTCCACCATCAGAGACAGGTTCATTCCAACCAATTGTTATTGAGTCTTTGGTGAATGCAACTACACTAGGAGTTCCTGGTGGTCCGGGTACTTTGAATGGATAGGCAGCCACTACAGCCTCTGATGTGATGGGAGGTCCAACACCATATCTGTTTTTAGCTTTTATTCTAAACTGGTACTCTGATCCAGTGGTTAACCTTATGGCTTTGAACACTGTACGAATGACAGTGGATGACAGTTCAGTCCATGTCTGGGAGGTGGTGTCTCTAATTTCAACAACATAGTTGGTAATTGGAATACCCCCATCATTATCAGGAGCTTCCCAAGAAAAGACACAATAGGTGCGAGCTATTTCTACAATCTTTACTGGTCCTTTTGGTGGTCCAGGTATATCGTGTACTTTGATGATTATGTTGTCTGTTGTAGTTCCAACAATATTCTTCCCTGTCATTGTGTAAACACCACTATCAGCTCTACTGCAGTCACTTATGCTGATGATAACAGTAGCTGGAGTAGATTCTACATTGATTCTCTGTGTGAGTTTTAGGGCTGCTCCATTCTTCTGCCAAGAAACTGTTGGCCTTGGACGTCCCATGACTGGGATTTCAACCTTAATGTCATCCCCTGCTTTTGCAATAACAGTTTTCTGACAAACACCACGTAAGTCAAACTCAGGTAGAGATGTTGAATCTTTGATAACAATGGGTTTGCTCTCACGAGGAGCACTTCTGCCAGATTGATTAACAGCCATGACATGGAAAATATACTCCTCATTTTCATTGAGATTCTTCACAGTGAAGTCCAAGGTCTTCACTGTTGAAACATGTGCCCACTGGTCTGTTCCCTTCTTTTTGGCTTCTAGAACATATCCAGAAATTCTGCTTCCACCATCATGTTTGGGTTTGGTCCATACTAGGCTTACTGAGTTCTTTGTGATGTCAGTAGAAATAATGCTTTCTGGAGGAGTAGGCGCTTGGGATGCACGAATTGGATCAGAGGTTTCAACTGCCTCCCCAATGCCAAACTCATTCTCAGCAGAAACTCTGAAGTAGTATTCGCAGCCCTCACCCAAGTCGCTAATTCTAACTGATGTTGTTGGGCACTTTGTAATTGCAGTAGCAAACGCCTTGCGTGTTGACTCCCTTTTCTCAATTATGTAATTTGTGATTTTGGCTCCTCCATCAATTAGAGGCATATCCCATTGAAGCGTGATACTGTCTTTGTCAATCTTTACTGGTTTGAGGTTAAGAGGAGGTCCAGGTGAATCCAAAACTCTAACATGAATATCAGCACTTTTTTTACCAGCTGAGTTTTCAAGGGTAATCTCATATTTGCCAGCATCGATTCTTGAACTCTCTGGAATAAGTAGCATTGAGAAAGATTCAGTGCTATCAATGACTGCACGTGGAACAGGGCCACCTTCTTTACTCCAATTGACTGTAGGAGCAGGACGACCCTTGATAGGCACAAAGAGACGAATCGAACAACCAGCTCTGACAACAAGGGTCCTTCTCAGCTCAACATCCAATTCTAGATCAGGTTCAGCAGCATGTTCTACAATTGCAACCAATTCCTGCGTTTCAGCGGGTTCACCTGATCCCTTGGCATTTACAGCACTAATTCTGAAATGGTACTTAGCACCAGTTTCCAAGCCCGGAACAACAAACTCTGTGATTCGGAGAGGAGACGACGGGGTATCCTTAATCCATTCTTCTGTTCCATCCTTTCTGTGCTCAATTACATATCCAGTGACTTCAAGTCCACCATTGTCCAGAGGTTTCCCCCAGTTCAGCGTAGCAGTAGTTTTAGTTGTGTCGGTAACTCTTGGATTGACTGGCGGTCCTGGAACAACTAAAAGGAATATGATAAGCAGTTAGATTTCAGCAAGAAATACATATTTTTGTATAGATTAACATAATATTAAAAGCAACAATTATGCAGTTGTGCGTGCTCCAAAGACAAAATTGTTTGATTTCTTTACTTACAGGCTGCAACTATTGTTTTGATAGCCATAGATGGTTCACTTGGCTCTCCAAAACCAGCTTTGTTCTCAGCCAGAACACGAAACTCATACTCAACACCCTCAGTGAGACCCGTGACTTCATAACTGAGCTCTGCAATCGACTTCTTGGATGCTCTAACCCAACGCATCGCTTTCTTTTCCTTCTTCTCAATACTATAACCAATAATGTCACTTCCTCCATCTTCAGCTGGTCTTCTCCAGGTCAAAGTAACTGAATGTCCATCAACTTTCTCTACTTCTGGTCTAGATGGTGGACCAGGGGGACCTACAATAAAAACTTAGTTACTTCCAAATGCACGCAAAAGTATACATATAACCAGACAGTCCAGCTTGTTAATGGTATACTGCTTGGTTAGATAATCTAACTATACATACCAAATCTGTCGACCATCTTGACAGCTTCAGAGTGAGATGGCTCACTTGCACCGTACTGGTTTACGGCAGAGACTCTGAAGAAATACTCATTACCCTGGATGAGTTTGTTAGCCACATAGTGGCAGTCAATGACCTTCTCTTCGAGGACTGTCCAGAGCAAACGACTAGTTTCCCTCTTCTCCAGGGTGTAATATTTGATAGATGACCCTCCATCTTCAGCAGGGGCTGTCCAGGTAAGAGTCACCTTTTCAGAGGATACACCACTGCATTCAATGGGTCCAGGAGCACTAGGGACATCTAGAACTTTGACCTTGACGGTTTCCTCCTTTACACCAAATGGATTGGTGGCTGTGATGATATATTCTCCAGAATCCTTTCTGCTGGCATATTTTACAGACAAAGTTGATGATGTTTGAGTGGTTTCAATTTGAACAAGGTCAGAGGGTTTGAAGTATTTCCCTCCCTTTGACCAGCAGGATGTTGGTGCAGGTTTTCCTATAATGCTTGTTGCAGTGACAACAATCGTATCACCAGCCCTGACAGTCAGACCTTCCTTTACGTGAGCATCAATAGTAATGGTTGGTGCAGCTGTTGGATGAAATGAGAAACATTTAACCTACAATGACCTTATCTATAGCTCTTTATGTGTGGTGTGGTTATTCATTTTTAACTTACCATATTCGTCTGTACACAAAATGGTATCTGTCTGCTCAGATGGTGGACTGAGGGCACCAGCAGCATTTTTAGCCCTGATCCTGAACTCATACTTGCAGCCCTCTTGGAGATCAGCAACAGTAAATGCAGGTTCCACAACATTCACATTGTTGGCTTTTACCCAGATCTTTGAAGGCAAATCCCGTTTCTCTACAATGTATCCTGTCAACCTGTGTCCACCGTCAAATTGAGGTTCAGTCCATTGGAGGGTCACACTGCTCCTAGTAATGCTGATTACATCCGGTTTACCAGGTGCATCTGTTTACACGTTGGGTAAAACAACAATGAATGCTTTGGTATAACTGTGTTTAGCGTTTACGTTATTGGTACTATGCTTCTTTTAAATTTACCTATGGGATCTAGGGCCACTTGCGGATCAGTTGGAGCACTCGGCCTGCCGATTCCAGCCAGGTTGATAGCCATTACTCTAAACTCATACTCCAATCCTTCAGTTAGTCCAGTGACCTTGTGTTCCTTCATCTTTAAGGCAGACGGACTTGCCCTTTTCCATAACATACTGTTCCTCTCCTTGAACTCAACATGGTAGCCTGAACATTGCATGAACGTTTTAGGAAAAACAGAGATTAAGATTTATGAATTTTTTTTTTTTCATTTCTAGATGATATACGAAGCTAACAGTTAAAAAGAATTCAGATTAAGTCCTACATGGACCGCACCTGTAATGGGAGATCCTCCTGTCTTTCTGGGGTCAGACCAGGCTAGATATGCAGAATCATGCCGCATACTCATGATCTGAGGAGGAGGTGGTGCATCAGGTACATCTGTAGAAAAAAAAATTCAAAGTGTCAAACAGTTAGCATAAGTTAAATGTTGGATATTATAACTTATAATTTTGTTTACATAAATAAAAAGCACTTACTGAAAGGATGTTTTGCAACCACAGGCTCAGACTTTAGTCCCTCTCCAACACCATATTTGTTCTCTGCACTGACTCTAAATATGTATTCCGTGCCCTCATGGAGGCCTGTCACTCTCATTGAATTGGTCTCCACTGTGGAAGAAACGTTCACCCACATGTTGGTGACGGAGTCCCTTTTTTCAAGGATGTAGTTGGTAATCTCTGAGCCACCATCATCCTTAGGAACACCCCACTTAAGTGTAGCACCATCAGCGGTAACATCTTTGAATTTTATTGGTCCAACAGGGATGCCAGGTTTACCAACCACCCTAAAACAACAAAGAATAATCATTTGCATCTTTATTATATGTAGCCAATGATTAATTATGACTAGAATCTCTACATGATTTAGGTTTTACTCTTACCTGATGAAGATCGTGGACTCTTTGGTGCCACCACTATTTCTCAAGGTGATGGTGTACTTGGAGGCATCCGTTCTCTGGCAGTCCCTGATTAGGAGGGTGGTGTTGACTGCAGATGACTCAGCACAGACTCTGCCAGTGTCTGTCAAATCTTCATCATCTCCCTTTTTCCAGGAGACCTTGGGAGTCGGCTTGCCACCTACTGGAATCTTCAGACGTACTGTGCTGCCCTCTTTGGCAATGTAGCACATGTTGGGTAACTCTCTTAAGTCACAACTTGGAGGAACTTAAAAAAAAAGACAAGTATTTTAAAAGCCCAAATTCATTTTACAATAACGTTTTATTCTAAATATGGACACTTACTAATTTGGTCCTTAGCAATAACAGTGAGCTCCTTGGCAGAACTTTCTCCTGAATCATTGACTGCTTTGACCCGATATGTATACTCTCTACCCTCCACAAGGTCCTTGGCACTGTACTGCATGTTCTTGGACCTCATAAGCTCCTTGTATTTGTCATCGCCATTAAGAACCTCAAGTACATAGCAGATGATGCGACTTCCACCGTCAGTGAGGGGCTTTTTCCAGCTGAGAGTACACGAGTCTTTGGTCACCAGTAATGTTTTGAAGTCCATTACAGGTCCAGGCTCCTCTGAAGGAATACAAATAAAACACTGTTAAAATTTTGTCTTATAACTACTACAAAAAGTTAATCAATTAAGGTTCGACTCACCTGTTGCTCTGACAGCATCGGCTGTTTCACACGTTTCTCCGGTACCGAGCTGGTTGACGGCTGATACTCTGAAGCAGTAGGACCGCCCGGCATCCAGGTCTGGGACCTTAAAGGAAGTCTTGGTGCAGTTGTTGGAGACAACAGACCAGGCCTTTCTTTCAGTGTCCCGTTTCTCCACTATGTAGTGGGTAATATCAAAACCGCCATCAATGAGAGGGGCATCCCAGAGGATGTAAGCGCTGTCTTTGGATGTCTCTTTCACTATCAAGTTGACTGGTGGTCCAGGCGTATCTGAAAGAGGAAAAACCTTTTTTAAATTTGACCCAATTCTAAAAGATGACTCACATTGTATCTATGATGTTATAACAAAAGTATGTGCATAAGTATGTACTGTAAGTATGTATGAATGGATGGATGCATGCAGGAATAACTCCTGTACTGACCAAAAACTTTGACAACAATGGTGTACATCTTCATGCCAGCCAGGCTGTCTAGAGACAGAATGTATTTTCCAGCATCATATCTGTTGACCTTCTCCACCATAACCATTGTGTCAGTGCTGCTAGATTTAATGACGATGCCCTGACGGTCCTTAATGTTGGTGTTCATCTTTGCCCAGGTGACCTTGGGAGTAGGGCGGCCCTTGATGGTAGCATACAGCCTCATGTTTGTGCCAGCATTTAGCTCCAGGACCTCCTTCAGCTCAGCACTCAGCTCAGCTTCAGGAGCAACTGAATAAATAAGCAAGTAAGAAATAACTGTAAGAAATACCATTTTATTAACTGACTTATGCTTTCTGTGTAATTAAAATCATGTTAGCTAAATATGCTAGATTATTGTAAGGGTTCGGCATTTCCTTACGGCACTTCCTTCTATACCTAATTTGAAGAGTGACATAATAAAGTACATACCTATAATATCCTTTGCAACGTGTTTGCCTGGGATTTCTGCTGGCTCACCAAATCCTACTTTATTAACAGCAGTTATGCGACATTGGTATTCTGCTTTGTCAATAAGGTTCTGAATGATGTAGCTGGTGTCCTGCAGGTTCCTGGGGACATTGCAGCGGATCCAGTCAGAGGTGTTGCTTCTCTTGCATTCCACCAAGTATCCGATAATGGGACTTCCACCATCATTAGCTGGCGCAGACCAGGTTAGACTGATTGTGCTGTTGGAGGTATCTGTGACATTGGGGTTTATGACAGGTCCGGGAGGAGCTGGAGAGAACAAAGGTATTTAGTTTCATAAAGCTGGTAGAAGTTTGATTTTTGAGATAACCTAAAAATTGTTTATGTTATCATGTGTACGGAAGTTTGGGACTTACTGATAGGGTTCTGTGCAGTGGTGCTTGCAGAGGGTTCACTTGGTTTCCCTAGCCCAGCTATGTTCACCGCAGTAACTCTGAAGTCATACTCAACACCCTCTGTCAGACCTGTTACTTCTAGAGTCCGCTCTGTTAGCGGTTTTCTGTTCACCTTGTTCCATTTCATCTCCTTAGTCTCCTTCTTTTCTAACACATAGCCCAGAATAGGGGACTTTCCATCATCCGCAGGTTCCTTCCAGCTCACAGTCATGCCGTCTTTGGTAACATTGGTGATCACAGGGGCTTCACATGGACCAGGCACATCTGAAAGTAAACAGCTTTCATTAGTCTAAACCTTTGCTAAGAGTCAATGATGACTTGTTCAATTTAAACCCAGCTTGTCAAGAAACTTGTGTTTGACAGATAGCTGAATGAATTCAGCATAAGGAAAACAAGACTCCCCATCTAATAAAAGACCAGAATATGAATCTGAAATAAAGGAGATGATGACTCACTGAAAGGGTTCTTGGCAATGACTGGATTGGTGATAAATGGGTCTCCGACCCCCCACGCATTTTCACCGCGAATTCGGAACTGATATTCGCGACCCTCAATTAATTTCTCCACAATAAATTCCAGTATGTCCCCCTTTATCTTCGCTGAAACTTGGGCCCAGTTGGTTCTGCTGGTTTCACGCTTGTCCACGATGTAGTTGCTGATAGGAGAGCCGCCATCCTTTAGAGGAGGCTGCCAAGACAGCTTAATGCTGGAGGCTAACACCTCTTCATATTTAGCACAGGCAGGGGGCCCTGGCACGTCTGAAATAACACAAGTCATATTATGAGTAGAAAAAAACTTAATGTGAATTGAACCTTGAGTTAAGAAATAATAAATCCTTACCCAGTACATTGACTATGATCTCTGCAGCCTTAGAGCCACTTGCATTCTCTGCCAGCACTGTATAGGTTCCTGTGTGCTCTTTGGTGCAGTCAGGTATCTCTACCTGGAAGTGATGTCTCTGCTGTTTAATGACCTGGCCTTCCCCTGACTTCAGGGTATGATCACCTATTTTCCAAGTGACTCTTGGCATTGGTTTACCAAACACCTCTGCTTCCAACAGGATTGTGGCTCCAGCCTTGACCATTAGAGCTTTTTGCATCTTGGCATTAAGTTCAATCCTTGGTGGAACTGAAAGGTATTGAACATGTCATTAGTAATTAAATGGCTTAAACTCATCAAATTAGTTCAATTATATATTAGACCTAGAGTGTATAGAAAATTAAATTTTGTTTTGTACAGCTCTCATGACATTTCCATTTCTTAAAGTGCAGCAATGATCAACTGATCGAGCCATATACTGCATGTATCACTGTTTTATTAGCTTGGCTGTGAGTGTTGAGTAAAAATGTCTCACCATTCTCAGCACAGACCAGGATTGGGTCAGTAGGTTCTGAGGGCTTGCTCATGTTCACTGCAGTTTTAGCTGTGACTCTGAACTGGTACTGAAGGTCTCTTTCCAGTCCTGTCACGGTGTACTCCTCCCTGGGGACGTTCTGACTGCTGGTATTGCAACGTATCCAGGTGTCTCCTGGCACGCGCATAGCCTCAACATAATAACCTATGATCTTGCTTCCTCCATCATTTTTAGGACGGGTCCAAACCAAACTGACAGAGTTCTTGGTTACATCTAGTACTTCAGGATTACCTGGAGTGTCTATGAGAGAGAAATAGACGATTAAAGTTATCTAGCTAACAAAAAATCCCTTTGTGTACAAGGATTATCTATCAACTCACCAACGGGTGTTCTTGCAGTGACAAAGTCTGTCTTCTTGCTTGGTTTGCCCTGACCAGCACGGTTAATGGCTGAAACTCTGAAGGTATACTCCAGGCCTTCAATGAGACCCGCACAGGGGTATTCAGTGGTCCGGACCACCGTGTCATTTGCCTTCACCCAAAGAAGGCTGTTCCTCTCTTTACGTTCGATGTAGTACCCTGTGATGGGACTGCCCCCATCTGTCTCTGGTTTATCCCACGCAACAAACATACAGTCTTTGTTGGTCTTGTTAACACGACAGTTTAGTGGCTCGCTTGGTACATCTAGTAAAACCAAAAGAAATGTGTCAGTCCTTAGATGCATGTCTCAGTAATTTACTACTAAGTTCAATGAAACTTCAGCCTTGGAGCATGTTTCACTGACACTCACCAAAGGGGAACTTTGCAACCATCCTTTCTGACTGAAGAGGGTCTGACACACCGAACCGGTTTTCAGCACGGATGCGGAAAACAAATTCCTTTCCAGGAATAAGTTTCCCAAGTCTGCAACTAGTCTTAGCGCATGAGGAGAGCGCTGTCACCCAGTCGCCTCTGGTCACGTCACACTTCTCAATAACATAGTTTGTAATATTGCTGCCACCATCCTCGAGAGGTTTGTTCCAGGACAGGGAACAAGCATCAGAGTCAATGTCACTGATTTCCACAGGGCCTTCAGGAGGACCAGGGATGTCTGCAATGTAAAAGTTTACCAAGTAATTTTTACTCTTTTTTTGCTCAGACAAAAGAAGTATCACCTTTTTATTTCAGATAGTTAAAAAAAAAAGTGTTACGCACCTCGAATTACAATCTTTATTCCTTGGGAAACTTGTCCAGTACTGTTTTCCGCAATAAGACTGTATTCTCCACTGTCATTCCTTGTAACATCTTTGATGATAAGGACGCATAGGTTGCCAGATTGGTGCACAGCTAAACGGCTGGATGGGACCACTGCTTTCTCACCACGTGTCCACTTGCATGTGGGAACAGGTTTTCCTGAAACCAGCGCCTCCACTCTGAGCTTGGCTCCAGCTCTAGCACTAGCAGTTTCTGGCATAACAATCTTTGGCTCCACTGTGGTTTGAAAAAAAAAACAAAAAAACTGGTTGTTGATGATTTTGGTACATAGTTCATGTTAGTAAACAGATTTACAGATTTCAAACATTAACCCACAAAATCCTTTGCTGTTTAATATCTTATCTCAGTATAACCAGGTTGTAACACGCAGTGTTAAACAATAATAATACAAACAGTTTTTCTTCTTTTCATGCATTAAAACATACCCATCTGTTCCTTGATTTCAGTTGGCTCTCTTGTTTCAGTGAATGAACTCATGCCCATGATGTTCTTGGCAGCCACTCTGAACTTGTACCTCTTGCCCTCCTTCAGACCACTGATGCTGACTGTTAAACCTTTAACTGTGGTGTAAGCGTTCCAGACTTCTTTTTCACCTTCATCTTCCTCTTCTTCCTCCACAACTGGGGGTGGCGGAGGCAGTGGAAGAGCTTCTTCACCTTCGGCTAACTGTAGTAAAGTAATTCAGATGTTATCTAAGCAGAAATGATTTTTAAATGTCTCAAAAGAAATCAAAACTCCAGCAACATCAAAGAATGTTTATATCTGTAAAATATCAGCATAATTGGGTACGTTGGTCATGATTGCAATGTAATTGTTGTTTCGGTCTACTATAACTGAATGACGTGGTAGGAGGACGAACCTCAACAGGGGCTGGTGGCTCTGGTGGAGGTTTCACTTCAATATATTCAATAACATAACCATCAATTTTGGCTCCTCCATCTCTTTCAGGCTTCGTCCAGCCAATCATCGCACTGTTCTTGGTTATTTCTAACACTTCAATCTTCTGACAAGGGTCTGGCTTGCCTGAAAAATAATTCAATATTTGAATATGTTGTCATTTCGGCTAAAAACACCCAAAGCAGAACTAAAAAAAAAGAACTAAAAACAGCTCAACTTTGATTCTGGGATAAAACATCATCTGTATTTTGCTGTTCTGAGTAATTAGTGACACTTACTGACAGGATCAGACGCCAGGTAGGAAGTAGGCGTGACTTTAGGAACACCAGAGCCGTACTCATTGACAGCAGTGACTCTGAAGTAATATTCAGTGCCAGGTGTCAGACCGCTGACTTTGACAGGAATCTTATCCGGCTGAAGTTCAGTCTTAACAGTTGCCCATGTCTTGCGGTCGATCTCTCGCTTTTCAACGATGTAGTGTATCACCTCACTGCCGCCGTTGTTTTCTGGAGGATTCCAGGTTAACATGACTGAAGTCTGCTTAATGTCTGTAGCTTCAAGATTCATTACAGGTCCAGGGGTATCTGTAGGGGAAAATGGCATTACTATTTATTTATTCTTAAACTTGGGCTAATTTTTTTATGGAACTATAAAACATTGAGGTTTTTGTCAGTAAAAAAATCTTAACTGAATTTGAAAGTATGGGCTTACCTAGAACCCTGACGTTGACAAACACAGCCTTTTCTCCTGCAGGGCTCTGTAGAGTCAGGCAGTATTTTCCAGAGTCATCACGGGTGCTATCAGGAATGACCAGGAAGGTCATTGTGTCTATGATGTCCACTTTGCCCTTCCTAACCACATTATCGATACCCATTCTCCTCCAAGTGACTGTAGGATGTGGTCTGCCTCTAATAGTGGCACAAAGTCTAATGGGACAACCAGCTCGAACTGTCAGGCCCTGCTTCAGGTTGGCATCCAAGTCGATCTCTGGTGCCTCTGTTGGGTAAAGAAAATATTTATGTTGGCAATGAATCAAGAAAAACATATTTATTGATTTCCTTGTGTAAACTTGTTATATACAGTGAACATATTTAATCACCTAGAATCTCCCTTGGAATCACGGCGCCCTCTAGGTCACAGGGCAGGCTCATGCCCACCTGATTTTGGGCTGACACTCTGAATTCATACACTAGATTATGATCAAGGCTTGTGACTGTAAACTCGCACACAATAAGTTGTGCCGCTACATTGCATCTCCTCCAGCCATCATCTCCTTTCTTTGCACTGCCCTGTGCTCTCATCTCCACAACATATCCAATGAGAGGAGCTCCCCCGTCAGACACAGGCTTGGTCCAACCCAGGGTAACTGTTGATTTTGTGCTGTCCACAACCTTTAAGTTGGTAGGTGGTGCAGGAGGCTCTGTCAACAGATTACAAAATGTGAGGTGCCGGACTTAATTATGGTTAACGCATTAACTAGAAAACAAGCTGTTATAATAAACTCACCAACTGCATCCTTTGCAGTGATTGCACGAGAAGCCTTGCTCGGAGCACCAATGCCGATTTCATTGACAGCCTTAACTCTGTACTGGTAATCATGGAGAGGCAACAGTCCAGTGACTGTGAAACGAGTTGCAGGGATTGGATCTTTGTTGACAGGCGACCACCTAACAGCATGCTCTTCTCTCTTTTCCAAAAGATAACCCAAGATTGGTTTCCCACCATCCTTCTCAGGCTCTGACCATTGTACTGTCATTTCCTCTTTGCTGATCTTTGTTACTTCTGGTGATTCGGGGGCATCAGGGACATTGAACTGGGTGCCGGCAACTATAGACTCAGTTTGAACTGCTGGTCCAGGACCCATTTTATTCTCTGCACGAACCCTGAAGATGTACTCATTACCCTCAATTAGTCGGGTTACTTTCGCCTTATTGGTAATGACGGCATTAGAATGAACAGACCAGACCCCTCTCTTGGTCTCACATTTTTCAATAATGTAGTTGTATATATCACAACCACCATCATCTTCAGGAACATCCCAGTGTAGACTGCACCTGTCTGTGGTTATATCGGACGGTTTGAGGTTCCTTACGGGACCAGGTCTGTCCAGCACATTCACAGTGCCTGTAGCGGAGCTGGTTCCTGCACTATTGGAGGCAGTGATGATGTATTTGCCACTGTCTGTTCGTCTAGCACCTGTAATCAGCAATTTAGAAAAGTCTACACCAGTTTCGAGTTGAAGTCTTGGGCCTTTCTTGATTTCGTCTGTGCTTTCATCCTTCGTCCATTTGACATCCGGCTGAGGCTTGCCCTTCACTGCTGCTTCTATTGCAATTGAATCTCCTGCCCTCACAACAAGGGTTGCCTCGAGTTTAACCTTTACTTCCGGCTCCACCAGCTGTTCCTTAACAAGTACTTCTCCTGTGGTCACCCAATTACTTTCACCTCCCTCATTCTTAGTCTGGACTCTGAACTGGTAGATTTGATTTTCGATACACCTATCGGCCATAAAGTAGGTCTCCTTGATTGCACCCTTATGAATTCTCTCCCACTCTTCAGCTTCCTTTGGTTTCTTTTCAATATGATAACCTATATTTCGACTACCACCATCATAATCAGGTTTCTTCCATTTTAAGAAGCAGAAAGTCTTTCCAATCTCAGATATATGGAAATCAATGGGTTCCCCGGGTTTTTCAATAGGATCGACGGCCAAAACTGGTGACTTTGTCTCTATGGATGGCCCAACTCCTATCTTATTTTCAGCACTCACACGGAAGAAGTATTCGCACCCCTCAGTAAGAGGAGCTTTTATCAAACGCTTGGTCCAGTCATTGGAGACTACTGTCCACCCTCTTTGGCTTGGCTGACGGCATTCAACGGTATACTGAGTAATCTCAGTGCCTCCGTTGTCCTCAGGGTTTTCCCAGGAGACCATGCAAGATTTCTTTGTCACATATGCCACTTTTAAGTTTTGGCAAGGTCCTGGTGTGTCTAAGACATTGACCAAAATAGTAGCCTGAGCCTGTCCACTGCTGTTCTTGGCAACAATGGAATACTTTCCATAATCTGACCTGACTGAATCATTAATAATCAGCTCACAGACAGGGTGGATGCTATTGATTTCAGTGCGCTTATCTCGCGACACAGCTCTGGCATCCTTTGTCCACGTGATCTCGGGATCTGGTCTTCCTTTTACTCTAGTAATCAAACTGATTATCTGGCCTGCTCTGACTGTCACAGAGTCACGGCAAGAGACATCAACCACAACTTCAGGAGGCACCAGGATGTCTTTTGCCAAAACGGCCTCAGGCAGTTCCCTGGGTTCACTGTCTCCCACTATGTTTGTAGCTCTGACACGTAGTCTGTACTCCATTCCTTCAATGAGACCAGGGACTCTGTAAGCACAGATCTTGATTAGGTCTTTGTTGATTCGATCCCACTGGGCAGATCCTGACTTCTGAGCCTCAACAACATAGCCTAGGATTGGGCTGCCTCCGTCTCTCGTGGGTTTGGTCCAGCAGATGTCTGCATAGGATTTACTCCAGTCTTTAAGTTTGGGGTTGCCGGGAGGACCGGGTTTGGTGATGGCACGTGTAGCTTTGACCGGGTCAGATGTAAGTGAAGGCTCACTGATACCAGCAACATTCTCAGCAAACACTCGGAATTCATAGCTGTTGCCTTCAAACAGACCAGAGACTCTGTATCGTAGGTCCAGCACAGGAGTTTTGTTGACACGAATCCATTTTCCTGTCATCTCTCTGCGTTCAATCACATACCCACTGATGGGGCTTCCTCCATCATAGTCAGGAAGGGCCCATTCCACTGTTACTGCATTTTCTGTGATATCAGAGCACTCGGGGAACCCTGGAGGACCAGGAGGGTTAAACAAGTGCTTTGCAATCGTTGGGGGACTTTCAAGCCCAGCTCCAATGCCAATTTTGTTTTCTGCTCGGACCCTGACGATGTACTCGCGGCCTTTCTCCAACCGTGTCACCTTGGCCTTTGTGCTGATGCCACTTGAGCTAACAACGGACCAGGGTTCCCATGGCTTCTTGACATCTTTCTTTTCAACCACATAATTGGTGATGGGTGTACCACCATCGTCTTTAGGTGCCCGCCATTGTATCATCATGTGATCGGGGGTAACCTCCAAAATATTGATGGGTCCAACTGGTGGTCCTGGTAGATCCAACACAGTGACGTGTAGAGCAACGGTTTTACTGCCCGCAGAATTTGACACAGTGAGCATGTACTCTCCGGTGTCTCCTCTCTGGCTCTCTACGATACTGAGGGTGGTTGAAGTTTCAGCAGATTCAATTTTGAATCGACCTTCAGATGTCAACTCCTTGCCGTCACTGATCCACTTGGCTGTGGGAAGGGGGATTCCTGTCATCTTAGCTGGTAGAACAATGGTAGTGCCAGCTTTGACCACAAGACCCTCAATAAGTTTCACATCAACTTCGATAGTAGGTGGCACTAAAAAAGAAGAAAACAGCAATCATGAATGTTCAAGATCCAAACAAGCACATGAAACAGAGTAGTTATGAGAAACATTACTGGTATGCCTTACATGTCTTCTCCTGGCAAGTAATGGGGACACTGGTCTCAGGGCGGCTGATACCAATGGCATTCTGAGCCTTAACTCTAAAGCGGTAAGTCTTGCCTTCTTCCAGACCTGTCACATGACTGTGGTTGTTGGTCACGGTCTTAAAAGTAACCCAATCAGTTTGGCCCTCTTCTTGGTGTTCAACAATAAAACCGGTAATTTCACTGCCTCCATTGCGATCAGGCCACTCCCAGGCCAACCACACCTCTGTCTTGTCTGCATCGGTATGGTGGAGATTTTTGGGTGGGCCGGGAGGATCTTAAAGGTGTCAAAAGAGGGACAATAAGTATCATCTATATATTTAGATTAAATATATCCTACTGATCATATTATTAGACAGCAATAACATAAGGTTTACTTACATAGAGGATCTGTAGCCTTAATGGGTACCTTGGTCACAACAAAGTCACTCCTGCCAAACTGGTTCTCAGCAGCCACCCTGAATAGATACTGAATTCCCTCCATAAGGTACATGGCCATAAGACTAAGCTTCTTATTGGCTGGAGCAACCGGTACCCACTGGTCTGCAGCCACATCCTTCTTTTGCACAACATAATGAGAGATGACTGCACCACCATTGTCCTCTGGAGCCTTCCATGTTAGGTAGGCTGACTCGCTAGTCACCTCGGACACCACAAGATCTCTTGGAGGAGAAGGCTTATCTGAAGGAACCAACGTGTTAAGTAAGATAAACAATTATAATTTAAAAAAGTTCAACTTGTTCGTTTTGGTATCCATTTTACTCACTCAGCACAAGCACGGCAACGGTTGCTGATTTCTTTCCAGCAGCATTCTCAACCGTAATAGTATAGTTGCCTGAATCTGCACGGACACACTTGGGGATGAAGACTTTGCTGCCGCTGGCAGTAACAGCCACAGTGATGTGAGAAGGAACATCTCCATCATTTTTCTTCCAGGTAATTGTCGGCATTGGAACCCCCTTAACTTTGGCACTAAGAGTGATGTCGGTACCCAGCATTGCTAAGTGGTCACGTGCCATGTTGGCATCCAAGAGTAATTCTGGTTCCTCTGTGAAAACAGATGCGTAAAAAGATTAATCGCTTGTTTAGAAGAAAAATGTTCAAAGAGAATCAACAAATAACCATGCCTATATTGGGAATCCATTTTGGATTTTTAATTGAAAACATAATACAGGGTTTTATTTTTTTTGTTCTTCAGTTATTCCCTTACCAAGCCTGTCATGGACTTTGATGGTCTGTTTAACGTAGGCAGGGTCAGATTTGCCGGCTGCATTGACAGTAAAGATCCTGAAGGTATACTCCTGTCCATCAGTCAGGCCTGTCACCACGTAGTGAAGGTCAGGACACTCCTCTGGAGTTTTGTTGGCCTGAGTCCACTCTACGGAACCAGGCTTCTGATATTCAACGAGGTAGCCAAAGATTCGTCCTTTTCCATCGTGGCGGGGCATCTGCCACTTCAGACTCACTGAATCTTTGGTCTTATCGTAAGCTTCTGGTGTTACTGGAGGACTGGGGCACACTGTGATGAGATAGTATTCAGTTTTAGCAGCAATAAGCCAGACACAGAAGACATTATCAGAAATATAAAAAGTTGGATTATTTAAACTTTAAAACCTAAATAGCAAAGAGAATTAATGAAAGAGCTCATTCTGTTTCTGAATAACTGATGACATTTAAAATAGATATAAGGAAAGAAATGTTGCACTGACCAATGGGATCCTTGGCAAGGATCGGCTTGGATGGGGGACTGGGATCTCCAGTGCCCAACTCGTTCTCAGCCATCACCCTGAATTCATACTCGCAGCCCTCTATCAAGTCCTGGACTCGGTACTGGGTGGCTGGATATAGAGGGTCTCTGGTGACTCTGGACCACCTCTTCGCTCCAGGCTCCTTCTTCTCCAGGATGTAGTTGGTAATAGGTTTGCCTCCATCACGGGGACGGTTCCACAACACCAGGGCATTGGTAGCATAAACCTCTCTGACTGTTGGCATCTCCGGAGCTTCAGGGACTCCTTTAATTTGGAAATATCAGGACATGGATTACGATAATTTGACAGTCTTTTTTAATCAAAGCATGCAAGTCAAGCTTAGAAAAGTTTGAAATGATCTATTGCATTTAACCGGAAGAACTTACTGAACAGATCTTTAGCCTTCATCTCCTCGGACTCCAGAGGGTCGCTGATACCATACATGTTCTCTGCAGATATCCTCATGATATACTCTCTGCCTTCAGTTAACTTCGGGATCTGGAAAGAAGAGAACATATGAATCATTTCTAATCTCCAGAGATCTCCTCTTGCTGGAAAACGTGAACCAGATCTACCTTGCATGTGGTCTTTGTTGTTGCAGATGTTACTGTGGTCCAGATTTCTCTGTTGACATCTCGCTTCTCAATTATGTAGTTGGACACCTCAACACCTCCACTATCCAATGGAGGTTTCCAGGAGATCACCATAAATTCTCTGTGGACCTCGTCAAACACCACAGGACCAACAGGAGGAGTTGGACGATCTGAAAAAATAAATAAAATGACAGTCGGTCGCTATGCTGATTGTTTTTGATCGTATATCTTACGTGTTTTCCTCCACTTTTCACCATACCTACAACTGTGACGTTACAAACGCCCTTTCTGGACCCTGTGCTGTTTTCCACAACCACCACATATCTGCCACTGTGCTCACGCTTCGCCTTTACCAGGCCCAGAGACATCATGGTGGGTGTGCTCTTTAAAATGATGTGTTTATCAGCTTTTAGTTCTTCGTCATCTCGGTACCAGACGATAGATGGAGCTGGTTTGCCCGTGTAGCGTCCCTGAAGCAGACAGCTTTCTCCCACACGTATGATGATCTTATCGCGGAAGTCCAGCTCGATGGTTGGGGGCTCTGTAAGGAGAGATATTTTTCTTTATGTTCTCCATGGACTTCATTCATTTGCAGCTGAATTAAAACTTGGAAAGTGACTCACCCAGTTCGTCCTTGCAAGTGATCGGTTTGGTGCAGAACGATGGTTTGCTCTGTCCGACTTCATTCACTGCGATCACCCTGAACTCGTAGGTGTCTCCTTCTCTCAGGCCATCATAGGTAAACTTTCTGTCCATCAACTTCTCTTTGGTAAGCCTGGTAAACTTGTCCTTTCCAATCATACGTGCTTCCAGAATGTACATGGTGATTTCAGACCCTCCATCAAACTTGGGGGCTTTCCAGGTGATGCCAATCAAATGTTTGGTAACCTTGGTGACCTCCAGATCTTCAGGACGGTCTGGTACACCTAAAAAAAAGTAAAAAAAAGTCTTTTATGGAAAGTTTTGGTATTTACAGTAACTTTATTCACATCTACATATTTCTTTATTGTATGAAATCTTGAAAGAGACTGTACTCACTGATTGGCTCCTTGATTATAACTTCCGCTGCTGTCTCCACAAACGGTCCAATACCGATGGCATTCTCAGCAGCCACTCTGAAGAAGTAGGCCTTTCCGAGGGTCAGGCCGCGAGCGATCGCATTCTGTCTGCTGGCGCTGTAGGACACAGCTGTCCAGGCTTTGCGCTCAGCTTCTCGCTTTTCGATTATGTAGTTGCTGATGGGAGAGCCTCCGTCGTTCTCGGGGAAGAACCAGCTGAGCTTGCAGGAGTCTATGCTCAGGTTTTCAGCCACAAATGGAATGCCGACAGGTCCAGGAACATCTAATCAGACGGAAGGGATTTTAAAAAGATAGTGTAACGGGCCGTTTAGATAAACTACTCCAATCATTTAACTATCACTCACCCAGGACTTCCACCGTGACGTTCTTTGTCTTCTCTCCACTGGCGTTCTTGGCAGTCACAGTATAAACGCCGAGATGTTTTCTGGCACAGGGTTTGATGACCAGTGAGGAGCTGATGGCAGTGCTCTCTACTTTAGCCTCTGGGGGCAGTCCTGCACCGTCTCTGGTCCAGGTAACGTCGGGCGTCGGCTGGCCCGACACGTAGGCAATGAGACGGATCACGCCGCCGGCGTGGACCACCATCCTCTCCTTCATCGATGCATCCAGGTCCACCTCAGGAGCAACTGGAAGGAAGAACCTTTGTATTACTGTCGTTTCCAAACAGTTAAAAAAAGTTAAGGTGAATAACATTTAACTTACTGCTTCTGTCGTTGACCTCCAGCACCTCTGGGACTTCACCTGGCTCGCCGTTACCCGCTGCATTAAAGGCAATCACCCTGAATCTGTACTGACCTCCTGTCTTTAGACCACTGATCACAAACCGTGTGCCTCGGATTTCAGTTTCCTTCGCCTTGGAAAAAAAAATACAATTTTGACTATAATTTAATGGAGTAATTATTATTTTTTACAACTTTTTACTTCTACTCATTAAATTTTTTTGCAATTATCTCCACTTTCTGTTGTTTCATTTAAGCTCATTTTTGTTATGGCCTGTTAATATATATATAAAAAATAAAAACCAACAAAATAATTAGCTTCATCCAGACAATTGATTTCTTCGTGGTTGGACCTGGTGCGGCCCCCACTTGTTGTTCACCACATACCAAAATAAACTGTTTTTCAAAATGATGCAAAAGTTACATTTGTCACAGTTACAATTACTTATAGAACTAAGAAAATGTAAGGAAGTTATCATCCAGAATTTCAGAAAAATTTTCCATTGATTGGGTAGTGCAGTAAAGTCATAACCACCTGATGACCACAGGTCTCAGCACACATCTTAGACTGTCTCTTTGACATCAAAATGGATGAAAGCCCATCACCTCCAACTGAATCTCTCAAAAACTGAACAGCCAAACCAACCATACACCACAATTTTCACATCCCGACTGGATCTCTTCTGGCAGGAAGAAACTTGGGTGTCATGATTGATGACCAGCTGACCTTTAAAGATCATGTTACCTCTGTCTCTCGATCTTGTCGCTTCACCCTACTAAACATAAGAAAGATCCGACCATACCCAACAAAACATGCAAACGCAACTCCTGGTGCAGTCTACAGTTATCTCTCGCCTTGACTATTATAAAGCACTCAACAGGTCTCCCAGCCTGTATGTTAAACCGCTACCAACAATCCAGAATGTGGCGGTGCGTCTGGTCTTCAATCTGCCCAAAAAGTCTCACGTTAACCCTCTGTTCAAATTCACCGGTTACCCCTGGCTGCCCACATAAAATGCTAGTCCCTGATGCTAGCCTAGTGCTTAAGGGTGTGGCTCCCATCTACTTGAACCCTCTTGCAAAGGCAAATGTCACAACTCAGTCACTCTGGTCACCAATGGATTGTCATCTAGCAGTACCTATGCCATGCCTAAAATAATCCAGACTGTTTTTATGGGTTGTTCCAAGTTGGTGGACTTATTCATGATAACGGTAAAATAGTGTTTACTTTGTAAGTGCTTTGGATAAAAGCATCTGCTAAATGCATAAACATAAAGCCTCTGTCCTAAACGTTTTTCCTGCATTACTTTTACCCATACTTTAGGTAGTTTTAAAAATGGTACTTTTACACTTTGACTTGGGTAAAAAGCTTCAGTTGATCCTACAAAAGTGTTTTTAAACAGTAGGATTTACACTTCTACTGGAGTAATAAACATTAATACTTCAGACACATTTGCTAACACAGCAATTAGGCTCAGATAAGTGTTGCCCCACCTTCACCCAGGCCTCAGTGCCCTCCTCCTTGTATTCCACCCAGTAGCCGATGATCTTGGACCCTCCATCTTTCAGGGGCGGAATCCACTCCAGGTCAACCGTGGACCGTGTCCAGTCAGAGACCCTTGGGGTTGGAGGTGATGGGGGAGCTTGACAGGGCAACAGACGAGAGGTTAGTATCCGGCCCTGTGTACTCAAGTGTCTCATGAATATTAACGACACTTACTAATGGCGTCCCGAGCGAAGACCGGGTCTGTTGGAGGACTGGCGAGTCCTGGGCCTGCGGCGTTGATGGCAGAAACCCTGAATAAATACTCAGACCCCTCAATGAGTCCAGTCACTACAAAGGACTCGCCCAGGCCCATGGGACGGATGGGGTCCCTGGTGACACGAGCCCAGCGTTTTCCTGTGGTCTCCTTGCGCTCCAACCAGTAGCCGGTGATGGGAGTGCCGCCGTCATCCTCAGGCTCCTCCCAGTTGACCGTCATGGAATCCATGGTGACGTTGGTTACTGTTGGCTTCTCAACTTGCCCGGGAACAGCTGGAAAACAGCAGAAAAGGGGAAGCAAAATTATTATTAGTTTAAGTAACAGACAGCGGCAAAGACCGTATCTGTTCTTCCTCCAAAGCTCAATAAATGCTTTTTGAATGAAGATAAGTCATCTTATTTCTTGTTAAATAATACTTAGGCTTATTGTTTTTTAACTATGAAGTAGAAAAAGAAGTACCCAGTGAACAGATATATACCGGCATCCTCTGTCTGGTGAGCTAAAGCTAAATGTCTACCTATTTTTTTACGTTAAAATCTTTACCAGAAGTTGAAACTTACTGTAACGGTTCCGGGCGACCTCAGGCTCACTGTCCAGAGGCTCACCGACCCCATACTTGTTCTGCGCCATGATGCGGAACACGTATTCATGTCCCTCCATGAGATTCTCCACGGTCCAGATGCGGTCTTTGGGCTCGTTGGTGACCGGCACCCAGGTTTTTCTGTTGGCCACGCGTCTCCAGATCACATAGTTGGTGATTTTAGAGCCGCCGTCATCCTTTGGTGGAAGCCAAGACAGTGTGATCTTTTCAGCGCCGACTTCTTCAAACTTAATAGGAGCAGATGGGGGGCCAGGACGACCTGCAAAAACACGGCAATTAACAATTTAAGTGGCTTTTTATGGCTACAGAAATCTGTCATCGAAAGCTTATTTAATTTCTAGATTTTTTTTGGCATGAGTTATTTTAGCAATAACTGACTAAAGCTGGATAATGTAGACGTTAAATAATTATTCCTCCATTATAAAACGAAACAGAGGGGCCTCCAACACTGTTAGACAATCCTGCATCTCATTCTGTCCGTCACCCAATGAAGGATAGTGTTTTCCTGTCTCATGGTTATTTAATACACATACGTTATGAAGTGTACATTACACTTCATAACGTATAAGAGTTCCCTACGCTTTCTCTCACCGGTTCGTTTCCTGAGAACAGATCACTCATGACAAACTCTTTAAATAACACTCCATAATGTGTATGTCTTAAATAACTGCAACACATGAGGACAGATTTAGACAGAAATTGTTACTCAGACCAGATAAGTTGCTTAGGGTTGGAAGATGCTGGTGCTGAACTGGACAGCTCCTTCAGTGACAGACTGCTGCAACCTAAATGCACCAGGGAGCGTTATCACAGATCCTTCCTCCCAGTAGCTGTTAGACTCTAGAACCACCACTGTTCCCAACAACCTAAATAAGTTGTTCCATTCATGCTGATTTTGCACAGTTTTTGTCCTAGTCATTTAAATAACATGCTGCTGTCATTTTGCACATCTCTGGTGTTGCTGCCATTTTCACATATCAACTGCTTTAAAAATGTCCACGGCTGTATATTTGGTTATTTACTCTCCAGGTGCACAGCATTTATATTGTAAAAACACTTTACAGTAAGGTACTTTATTTATTTTTTTAACTGTGCCACTTATTCCGATATTTTTTATACACTTTTAAGGAGTACACTGGTGTGACTACTCTTGCTGTAATGCTTTTTACTGCTGTAAAACCACATTTTTAGGTGAGGAGACAACCAGTTCAGATAATTGCTGAATATTTTTTATTTTGAAGAAATCATATCATTTAATTTTAATGAACTTTTCTAATTGAATAGAATCATTAGAAGTCTCGTTTCTAGCTTTAAAAAGGCTTTATGATGCCTTCTGCCGGTTCTGTTTATCTATTATTGTAGCCATCAAAGTATCACTAGTTTCTTTATAAAAGTAATACGTTTATATTCTGTTACCTAAAAATGATTGTTTTATACTTTAGTTACTTTAGTTACTTTAGTTATTTAGCATTTACCAAGTTTTTTCATAAATTTTACTTTTTATTGTGGATTAAATTCAGGAAGGCAAATATTCCAAAATGCGTTTGAGCTTCTTTAGGTTTGTTTCAGATAACCGTTAATATTTTTTGCTTGCGGTTAACTAATCGATCGTTTCGAGGCGTACCAAGAACATTGAGCCTCATTTCCTTGGAGGCCTTGCCAAGGCTGTTGGAGGCCACCAGAGTGTACAGGCCCGTGTCGTGACGTTTGCCCTGCTGGATGAGGAGCGTGCAGCTGTCGTCGGACACCATCTTGTTGATGTGCTCATCGTACTGGACCTCTGCCTTGTCGTCAGACTTGTGGGGAGGTGCCTTGTACCAAGTGAGTGTGGGGAAGGGGCAGCCACGAAGCTTGGCCACAATGCTGATGTCGGCGCCCTGCTCCACCTCCATGAACTCCTCCAGCTCAATGGATGGAGCACCTGCAGCGAAATGGGAAGACTGTCACTCATTTACCTTCACAGCATCGACTCAAACCCCAATAAAAAAAAAAAAAGTGATAAATACAAAACCACAATTTTAATGAATAAACCTTCATATTTAAAATTGGTTATCTATTATAGAAACCAAAAATGGAAACCCCTGCATCAAAGCTGCGGGCTTACATGTCTGGTCCTGGATGATGACGGGTCCGGCGGTGGATGACGGTCTGCTGGGTCCGGCTTCATTGTAAGCCGTCACTCTGAACTCGTATTCGTCTCCTTCTGTCAGGTCCTCCACCTTAAAGCTGGTGGTGTCCACATCTCTCCTGTTGCACCTGAGATTCAACAGTGACCCTTTAGCAGCCGCTAACAACAGAGCATCACGCTAACGCACAGAGATCCAACCTTACAGAAGAGCTCATCCCACATCAGTTCAAGTTACTTTCTGAAGACAAGTTTCATTTTTAAAAAAACACTTTATATTGTATTTTAAAGAGGGCTGAAACAATTAATGAGAATAATCAATTATTGAAATAAACGTCAATGTGACAGGGTTCTTTGTTCTCAGAGAATTCATGCCTCAGTCAGGTTACCAGTGTTGGTGGTTTACTGTGCTCAAAAACTCAAAACAGGGTGCAAAAGAAATTATACATTTACAAGATCCTCTGGGCCTCAGCCTCCCTCCAGTTACCATCAATGTAACAAAGAAACTGTAAAACAAAATGGCCGCTCTTCTTCCCACAGCCCTCAATAAATAGCTTAAGCCCCTCCCCTCAGGCTCTCATCTTTCTGATTTCCTCACATAAATCAGTTTTAATCCATATATTATTACCTCCACAAACAATCAAAATTGATATACAAAAACAAAAAAAATTGTACAATTTAATTCCTTTTCACAGATTCATGGACTTTAAAAATACACCCAACTTTTAAACAGGGCCAGCCAAGGACCAGTCAAGTAAGAGCCAAGGTCCTATCAAGGAAAGTGGGGACATTTTAAATGGCTAATACTGTATGTTAGTTGGGAGAAGATACACAGTTGTTGGCCAGGTCATGTGACCTGGAAGAACGTATCGCTTCACAGCCACAGGCTCCTATATAGTCATGGAGCTAAGGCTTTAGCTGTACTATTTTTTTACGTACTCGGCTAGTGGTCATGGCTGAGGCAAGGAAAAAGTTTAAAACATCTGAGGAGGCTAGAAACAGAAAACGTGAAAGGAATCCAGGAAAAACAAGTCGATCATGGAAAGTAGTTTATTTGTTGGCGCAGGCTGAAAGAAGCAGCCGGATATAAAACTGATTCGCTTTTCTCAACTTTATCATTAGACTGGTAAATTATCGACAGACTTATTTGCAAAATAATCGTTAGTTGCAGCCATAACTTTAATTCTTTAAGCACCAAAACTCTGTAAACTAGAATCTTAAAGTTGGTGTCTGATCTTTGCTGGGTTGTTTTCACACTGGGGCTGAAACAATTAATAGGATTAATCGATTTTTGAAATAATTGTCGAATTATTTATTAATCTATTTACCGTTAACTGGAGTGTAGAGATTGTAAAATAAGCTTTTAGCTGACAGAGTGACCCACTTAGAGCAGGAATTGTACCAAGAATGCAAAACAAATATAAACATTTTGCATTTAAGATAAAAAAAAATGTTTTCATCTGTCAGTATTCTCTATCCAGAACTCCTAAAGTGGAAAAGTTTTAGTTTCCCCTGCTTTAATTTGGTAAGAAATCTTCTTTAAGGAACCGTTGGCAATCTGATTATTAATAAATTCATCAAAAGAATAATCAACAGGTTCATCCATTTGCAGAAAAATCATTAGTTGCAGCGATTGTTCACATGGAGAGCCTCCAGAAGACTCACCTCCTCCAGGACTCTTTCTGGGCTCCACTGGAATCCCAGCACAGAAGGTCAACGCTGTAGTGGGTAACGGGTGACCCTCCGTCGTTCTTCGGAGCCTTCCAGGTCAGCGAGACTGTGCCCTTCCTGACGTTCTGGATCTTCAGCCGTGTTGGAGGATCCGGGGGGTCTGCATACAGACGATTATCAGGTGAGCCGTGAAAAAAGCTCGTACTGTGGAGGCTTAACTAAAGCGAGTTGAGACGTACGGATTGGATCTCTGGCTTTGGTACTTTCAGTAGTCTCAACATATGGGCCAAACCCGAAGCTGTTCTCAGCTCGGACACGGAACAGGTACTCCTCACCCACAATGAGGTCTGGAACCACCAGAGACTGAGTGGCACAGGTTGGGTTCACCTGGAAGAGCAAGATCAGAGTGAAATCTTTGCCCACAGTGTTTGTTATGAGTCTGAGGTCAGAGGTCATTACCTTGGTCCAGGCTTTGCCTTCCACGGTTTTCTTCTCAATAAAGTAGCTCTTCACCCGCTCTCCTCCGTCGCTCTCTGGAGGTTTCCAGGAGAGTCTGCAGGTTCCTCTGGTCACATCACTCACCTTCAGATTCCTGACAGGTCCAGGCAGGTCTGCAGAGCCACAAAAAAAGGTTGCAGTTATCGCTGGACCTTATCCACCCTGACAGACAGCAGTTCTGTGTAAATTGTTATTGACAAATGCTTCTACGTACCGAGCACGTTGACCCTGACTTTGACGATTTTGTGTCCAGCCGGACTCTCTGCGTTGATGATATATCGACCCGTGTGACCGATCTTGCTCTCTGGGATCACCACCACGGAGGTGGTGTCAGTAGAGTGGATCTAGAAGAAAAGAAAAAAATGAAGAACACCTCAAACTGATTCCAGTGCAGACCAGTTTCTCTGATTTACTCCAAGCAGGTTTGTGTTTTATGCTACGTTCACACCGCACGCAATTTCAGCAGCAAAAAAAGCTTCTGCTGCTTCATTTTTGTCCCCGTTAAGGTCAGGCATCCAGTAAAGTGAGTCCAGATGCGTCTGATGCCTCTGCTGCTCCTGTGTTCAATGCCATAGTGCGGCTTTGCTATATTTGCTGTAAACAGTTGGTAAAAGTAATTTTAATATATTTTTAAGTGAGAAAGTCCACCTGAAATATATACATAGTCTGTGCAGTCCAGATTACCATCCTGCCTTCAAAGATTGTTTCTCTGTGGGAGCCGCTCAGACCCCCACATACCGGCGCTGCGCTGTCACTGGGAATCCCCAGCAGCAGCTGCCTCAGGCCCGCTCGCCTCTTGGGGGTTTTCCCCTACTGTTGGTGGCGGCTGGAAGTAGATGTTAGCGTTTTTCAGGTCTGTGCTACAAACTGCAGGCAGCAGGATAATAAAAGCCAACATATTCTGCCGGCAGGTTTCTACATTTGAAGTTAATTTAGGCGTTAATAAACTGTTTCAGAGGAGTGATCATAGTCTGTCTTCCTGCATGCTCCCAGATCAGCTGCTCTGATTGGTTGATGTGTACGTCGTGCAACAAAACCTAAATTTTTCCAACTAAACTGTAAAGTTTCTGCTGCTCAAAGTGCTTTAGGTCTGAACGTAGCATTAATCATTAGTTTCTGCCTATAATGTATTTTATTATGCAAAAGCGGTTTTCATTTAGAAAAGCAACAATGTGACTCCAGAACGTCCCTAACCTCGGAGTCGACGGGCAGCGTGTGAAGGTCATTCTTCTTCTCCGTCTCAGCTGTCCCGTCCACAAAGGTCCAGGTGACTTTGGGAACAGGTCGTCCAGTTATGGTGGCAGGAATCCTGATGGTGGTTCCTGCTCTGCAGTACAGCAGGTCGTGAGCATTCACGTCCAGAGACACAGCTGGTTCGACTGGAGAGCAGAACATTAGAAGATGTTACCAGAACAGAGAGATGCATCCTATCAGTGTGACCGCTGAGGTCTGCTCTTACTCAGGATGTCCTGGACCAGGATGTCTCCGGTCCTAGCGGGCTCTGACTTCCCAGCGGCGTTCACTGCATAGATCCTGAACTTGCATTTCTTGCCCTCTTTTAGGTCAGGGACGGTGATTTCTGTGGAGGGGTGGAGCTTGTCGGCAGGGTTCACCCTCCTCCAGTCCGGGGAGCCCTCCTCGTGAACCTCAACGATGTAACCCTTGATCGGGCTGCCGCCGTCTCTCTCTGGAGGAGCCCAGGCGAGGGTGATGCTGCTCTTGGTCTTGTCTTTAACCTCGGGGGTTCCAGGTGGGCTTGGGGGGTCTGAGAAAGAAGAGCAGTGATAAAAAGATTGAATCAGTTTAATTACTTGTCTTCTAGACCTCCACGTCGGGTGTTTAGTGGAGCTCCAAATAAATTAGGATGTAAGACAGACTCACTGCATGGATCGGTGGCGAAGCGGCACTCCGTGGCCTCGCTGTGGGGGCCGACTCCTGCCGCGTTGCAGGCTGCAATCCTGAACTGGTATTCTGTTCCTTCTATGAGCCTCAGCACCGTGTACTGAAGCCCCTTCACTGCTGGCTTGGTGACCGGCGCCCGGTTAACGCGGCCCCAGTAGACGGCACCGCGTTCCCTCTTCTCCAGCCAGTAGCCCTGGATGGTGGAGCCCCCGTTGTCCAGCGGAGGGTCCCAGGTCACCGTCATGGTGGTTGCAGTTGCAGCTATGATTTTTGGGTTACGTGGAGGTCCAGGAAGTCCGAACGGATCTCTTAGCTGGACTTTCTCTGAATCGCAGCCATCGCTGACTCCGTACTTGTTCTCAGCTTTGATCCTAAACTGATAGACTCCATTCAGGTTCAGTTTGTAGACCTGAGGAACCAGATCATGACATAAAATAAATATAAGAACATATACTTAGAGAACTCTAAATGATGAATTTAAAAATTAGTGGCACAAGCGAACCCCATATCTTCTATCGATCAGGTTGATGGTCAGAACATCAAAGTCTGACTTCTTCTTGCTGGCATCTCTGCGCTCCACAATGTAGTTGGTGATTTCACTGCCTCCGTTGTCCTCCGGAGCGTCCCAGGTCAGGTAGCAGGAGTCCGCCTTGATGTCGGACACAGTGATGTTCCTTGGAGGAAGGGGGCGGTCTGAAAGAGCAAGGTCACATGAATTGGTAAGGAAACCAAAACCAGAGGCTTCCCCCAGCAGGTGAAGGTTCTGGTCCTTACCCAGGACCTCCACTCGGACCACATGCTGAGCTTTGCCGTAGCAGTTCTCAGCAACAAGGTTGTAGTTTCCTTTGTCTTGTCGGACAGTTTCTGGGATAGAAATCTTCGTCCTCAGTGTCGTTCTGTTTACCTGGAAATAAGAACCAACAGCTTGACTTAAGGGACGATACAGCAGAGCCTCTTTAGAAATCAATCTGATTGCTCCATTTTATAGCCAAACATTTGAGCTGCTGTAACTGTGGAATATCACATCTGAAAATAAGTTAGGTCCCTGAGTTTTGATCCAGTTTGATCTGGTTAACCAAAAAAAATAGACTTAGAATTAACAAAAAGGATTATATTTTTTTTATTTATTGTGGTTTGTTAATCCATTGGAAATTAGTAGATCTTTCCAACTCCCTGTTTAATTTTTACCATGAAGAGATAATAAAGACTTTAAGATAAAAGCTGGTCCAACCTCCTCTGTTTCTAAGGTCATCTTCTCCTCATCAGGCTTCTCGATCACCACATCGTCCTTTATCCACTGGAGTGTCGGCAGAGGAAGGCCAGTCACCTCTGCTGGGATGTCAATGGCGGCTCCTTTCCTCACAATGATGGCGTTGCTCTTGAAAAACTTCAGGATTGTGATAACTGGAGCGACTGCAGACGAAAAAAAGAAACTCATCAGAGGTCATCTGAATCAGAGTGTTTATCCATCGTCAGTAGGTTCTGCTGCGTACTTTGGTCATCCTGGATCCTGGCGGTGATTGGTTTGGATGGTTCTCCGTCTCCAACCTCATTCACAGCTTTCACGCGAAACTGGTACTCCTGGTTCTCAGAGAGGTTCTCGATGGTTCCGCAGCACTCAGTGAAGATCTTCCTGTTGGCCACGTCAAACTCTGTGCTGTCTGACCTCATCTTCTCCACGTAGTATCCTCTGATGGGGCTGCCGCCATCAGTGCGTGGGGGCTCCCAAGCCAGAGTGATGGTGGTCTTGCTTCGGTCCGTGTAGTGCAGCTTCTCTGGAGCAGATGGAGTACCTGGAACATTTTAAAGGACGTTACTCCAAACGTCTTTGAACTTGAGGTCAGACTTGCTGCAGGTCATCTTTAAGTATTCTACCTTTAGGATCCTCAGCCAGGATGGGGCCCAGGTCTGCTGGAGCTCCATCGCCGTACTTATTCCTGGCAATGACTCTGAAGTCGTACTCCTCCCCAGCTAGCAGGCCCTGAATGTCGCACCTGCAGGATGCCATCTCCATTGGCTGCCGGAACAGCTTCATCTTGGCGTCTTTCCTCAGCACCTCGTAGCCGATGATGTCGCTACCGCCGTTGTCCAGAGGATCTGACCAGGTCAGGACAATGTTCTTCTTCGTCACCAGGACAGTCTTAAGGTCCACCACTGGTCCAGGGACATCTTTAGGAAGAGAGCAGGGGTTAATGTCACCTTCAGCCTGGCATTCAACGCTATCCTGACACACTTCTGAAGAACTGACCCATAACATCCACTTTGGTTTCTGCCGTCTTGGTGCCGCTGCTGTTGGTGCCGGTGATCTGGTATTTCCCGCTATCGGTCCTTACGGCCTTCTTGATGAACAGGCTGCTCCTCTTGCCTTCTGTCTCCACAATCATCCTCTCTTTGTCGATCTCTGCTTCGTCTTTGGCCCATTTCACCTCTGGCTGAGGTCTACCAGTCACCACAGCCGGAAGCCTCAGCAATTCGCCAGCTTTTATCATGACGCCATTCTTCACGGAGGCATCGAATTCCACGACAGGTGTTTCTGAGGAAAACATTGGTCGGATGAGAGACAGAAGCAGTGTTTTTAACATCTTCAAAAGACGTTAACCACTATATTTATGAGGAAACTCTTCATACCTTGTGGCTCTTTGACCGTTACAGGTTCGGTGAGACCAGGAGCTCCAGGGCCGGCGTCATTAACAGCAAGGATCCGGAAATAGTAGTCTGCTCCTTCTGTGAGGCCGGTCACCGTGAACGTCAGCTCTTTACACCTGAACTCTGTGCAGCGGCTCCATTCCTTCTCTCCAGCCAACACCTGTAAAGCAGAGTACAGCCAGTAAGATCTTGGTGTTCCCTCCAGAACTGCAGATTTAGAATGTTTACATCATATTCTGTCCAGGACCTTTTCAATGTGGTATCCCAAAATGTCCCCTCCACCATTGTACAGCGGGGGCTTCCAGGCCAAGATGACAGAATCATTGCCAGTATCCACAACCCTGGGGATGGGGGGTCCAGGAGGAACTGGGGGTAACACAGTTTAGATTCATACTTTGTTCATTAAACAATAATAATGAAGTGCATAAAATTCTCAAAAACGTAACTTACGAATTGCATCCATGGCTACGATGCGGTCAGTGGGCTCACTGAAGGGTCCAGGGCCCGCCAGATTCTCCGCACACACTCTGAAGATGTAGGTTAGGCCCTCCATTAGACCAGTGACCTTCACGTCCAGGGAGTTGAGGAGGGCCCGGTTCACTCTGGTCCAGTGTTTGCTGTTCACCTCCTTGCGCTCGATCCAGTAACCAAGGATGGGGCTGCCGTTGTCCTTTGGCTCATGCCAGGAGATGTGGGCGGAACTTGCTGTCACCTCATGAACTCTGGGGATGTTGGGAGCATCAGGGGGATCTGATTTGAAAGGAAGAGTTCAGTGATTTATTCTGAACAATATGTGGAAAGATTTAATCTGATTTTGCGGCTCTTCTCACTGAATTGATTTTTGGCCACGAGCGGCTCAGAGATGCACGGTGGACCACAGCCATATTTGTTCTCAGCTGTGACTCTGAAGATGTATTCCTTCCCCTCGATGAGTTTGGTGACGGGTAAGCTGGTTCCCTTCAAGGTGGAGGTGATGGTGATCCAGCCAATCTCGTCACTCTTGTTGTCTTTCTTCTCCAAGATGTAGTTTAAGATCTCGCTGCCACCGTCGTCCTCAGGAGGCTCCCAGTTACAGATGACTGAGGTGTTCCTGATCTCATCGAAGGTGAAGTTTATCGGGGGTCCAGGTTTATCTGCAGAATAATAGAATTAGACTCTTCTCTAACCTCCAGAGGCAAGAGGAAAAAAAAAAGCTCCTTCTTACCCAGAACATTGACGAAACAGGTGGCAGAAGCGACGCCGTGAGTGTTCTCCACCTTGATTGTGAAGGTCCCATGGTCGACCCTGACGGCGTCACGGATCATCAGGGCAGACTGGCCTTTTGTGGTCTTATCCAGACCAAGACGCTCCCTTAGAGGAGTCACAAACTCCTCCTCTGGTTCTGGAACCTGAACAAAGTAAAGTCCAGATTAATTTAACACTTTCAGGTAAAGCTTTAAACCAGCAAGGTTTCTGAGAGAAAACCAACATGGGCTTTGGTCTTCTTCTTCTTCAGCACTGGAATGATCTTTTTAGCGGGCTCTTTGGTCACATCCTCCTCGTTCCTCAGCCAGGTGACTTTGGGGTATGGAGAGCCAGAGATAAAAGCATCGATGCGGATCTCCTCGCCCTTCTTTACGCAGAGGCCGGACTGCACGCGTGCATGCAGGGTGACCTTTGGTTTCTCTGAAAGTAGTAGCACAGAGATCCAGTATTGATTAGAATCAGTTCTTCCTGAATGAGAGCAGATTGCGGCAGACATACTCACCAACAGGATCAGCAGCCTTTATCAGCGGCGTGCTGCGCGACGGCTCGCTGACTCCGGCGGCGTTCTCTGCTCGGACTCTGAACTGATACTCCATGTCTTCTTTCAGATCCGTCACCACATAGGAGAAACCTGCAACCAGGCTGGGGGTGACCCTCTCATAGCGGTCGCCATCCTTCTCAATCTTCTCTATTATGTAGCCCTGGATGGGGCAACCACCATCGTAGTCTGGAGCCTTCCAGGTGACGGTGATGGACTTGGATGTGGGGTCATGGCCCTCGACCTGGATGGGAGGGTCTGGTTTCTCTGTGTTGAATCAGGAAACACGGATCAGGAAATGAATGCAGGTATACATTTAAAATGTCCTCTAGATGTTAGAGAATGAGTCTAAAACAGAGCTTACGTTTGATTTCCTCCGTGATGACGGGGCTGCGCAGCTCCAGATATTCTCCGGCTCCGACTGTGTTGACAGCCTTCACTCTGAAGTAGTACTCGCAGTTGATGTAAAGGTCTTTGACGTTGAAGGTTAGGATATTCTGGCCCGACATGACAGGAATGTAGGTTTTCTTAGAGGCTTCCCGACGCTCCAAGGTGTAACTGACAATGGGGGTGCCACCGTCATCTTCCGGAGCTTCCCAGCTGATCACACAAGAGTTCTTGGTGACGTCGCTGGAGGTGATGTCTTTACACTGACCAGGGAGCCCTGTGAGGTTTCAGACATTCAGTTAGCTTCCTAAACCTGTATACATTCAGCAGTTTGCAATATCAGGTGAACTATCCTACCGATAACTTTGACGTTGATGGTTCCTGTGGCACTTCCCAGACTGTTCTCCAGGGTGATGGTGTAGGCACCGGCATCAGAACGTTGGGACCTCAGCAGCTCCAGATGGGCGCTGTTCATCTCGACCGTCATGGAGAGCCTGTCGTCCGCTTTGCACTCCACGCTGTCTTTCTGCCAAACCATCTTGGGGGTAGGGATTCCTTTGTAGGGGATGTTCAGGTGCAGCTTCTCTCCTTCAACGACGATCACATCCTGTGCGTCCAGATCCATGGATGGTGCACCTGCAGGTCAGAAGACATGATAGTCATTCAGGATTCCCTCTGGCCTCTGAAACCCTGAGAAAGAAGAAATCTAGATCCTTACAGTCTGGATCTTTGGTGGCAACTTTGTCAGAGATATCAGAGGGATCGCTAACTCCAATAGAGTTGATGGCCCGAACTCTGATTACGTATTTCTTCTCTGGTTTGATCCCATCGTCGATCCTAAAGTTCAGCTCCTTAATGGGGCGGGCGTTGACCCGTAGCCACTTGAGTTCTGGACGAGCCTCTGCCACCTCAACATGGTATCCCGTGATGGGACAGCCGCCGTCCTTGGCTGGTGGTTTCCAGGTGACATTGATGTGTTCCCTGCTGGCGTCAACAATGGCCACATCCAGAGGAGGAGACGGAACACCTGGGCAGAGGTAAGGCCATTGCTTAAAACAGAACTGAACATTTAATGGCCATTTTTATTGATAGAAACATAGCGTGGGGGATTTTATTTCAATTTTGAGCCAAAAATTTTCAACCATAAATCTCTGTTCACTGTTCCCTGAATGAACTGTGCTCATTGAATCATTCACATACCTGCAGATTTGAATTTAAATAATTTTCTTTCATTGAAAAACTATGTTATAGAAGACAACAGAGCAGTTTAAAACAATAATAATTTAATTTTGAAGAATTTAAAATCCTCCTTCTTACGTATAAAGCCTTATATGGGCAAGCTCTCAATCTGCAGGTTTACTAGTGGTTCCTAGAATTTCTAAAAGTGGAATGGGAGGCAGATCTTTTAGTTATCAGGCTCCTCTCCTGTGGAACCAACTACCAGTTTTAGTCCGTGAGGCAAACACTCTGTCTACTTTTAAGGCTAGGCTTTAAACGTAGACAGAGTGT